ATATTAAGCGGATGTGCACAAACACAAAGGCATCATGCAATGGTGTGCAGACTGCCGTTTCATACAGTGCAACTGACAGGGATGTATTTTGAAAGCACGCTGTAGGACAATTATGGTTTTCTACAAAAATAAACTACTCTTCATTTACGTAGATACCAGGGCAGTATGCAGGAGGTACAGGCGAAACGCAACATACAGAAAACACGATAAAAACAAGCAAAGCTCCTTGTTGTCATAACAGCAACTTAAAACTGAGCAAATAAAATCTGAGGAGGAGATATCCTTCACACAGAAATATCCCTTAGAACAGAGATCACAAGAAATGTTGCTTTCAGGAACAGTAACTGGGGGGAGATTTTTTTCATTGAAAAACAACTGTTTTTAAAGTCACACTTTCTACTCTTTCATTTAATAAGCTTTGAGAGCCCTGAAAATAAATATGTTGTTTCTGGTGGTTGGCAACGGATTCAAAAATTCTCTCTCTACATTGCTAGGCTGATTTATTGTGCCACATACAGTCTGTAATAATAGGTAAGTTGATGGTTACTTCATTGCAGCTGTGAAACTACTGTACCTTTGTTGTCTCATGTCCTCCATCTTTTCTAGTGGAAACGGTAACACTGATATTCTTGTCCAAGTAGCAGATGGCACTGCCTTTTATTTCTCCTTCTCTTTGCTTGCCACCACCCCTAGAGCATGGGGTACTGGATTTCAATTGACTCACAGGGGTCTCCTCAGGAGTAGGGAAACAGCCGGTGAAATTCCAAGTCCCCTGCTTGGGAACTGGAGCCTGTCTCCCTTCCTACTCTTCTCCCAGGCACTTTAACAACCAGTCTTGTATCCCAGTGGGTCTGAGCAACAGGGGGAAACAGCAGGCCTTGAAGTGTGTCCAGAAACTAGAACCGCCTAGACATCCAATTCCAGACCCTCCAAGTGTCCCTGTTTTCCAGGGACAGTCCTGGATTTACAGAAGTCATCCCTTAGGACGTCCCTAATTTCATCGGAGAAATGATGGAGGGTATGGAGTTATGCAACCCCCAAGCCAAGGAGATAAGTTAACTATACAACCTTCAGAAGACATCTGAAGGCAGCCCTGTATAGGGAAGTTTTTAAATCTTTAATGTTTTGTTATGTTTTTAATAGATGTTGGAAGCCTGGCTGGGGTAGGGTTGCCATATTTCAAAAAGTAAAAATCAGGACATCCTGAAAGTTGTTGAGGTTTTTTTGTGTTGTTGTTTTTTTACAATAAGTGCCACCTTTTGGAGATTCATTGCCATTTCAGTTCTGCCTATGAAATCCTGGTCATATTTGGGAAAATCAGGATGTATGGCAGCCCTGGGCTGGGGCAACCCAATCAGATGGGTGGGGTATAATAATTATAAAAATAAAGTTATGGAATAGGAAATCCCTATTTTTCATTGGATAAATGTCAGGACAGGGAAATATGGAGGAACAGCACTAGGCAGATCAAAATGGAAATAAAAGCAAATACTAGCATCTTGGTCTATGCAAGGTGACATAGCAAAACTAACTCTCAACAGTCACCTCTGGCATTGGCAGCTTCTGGCAGCAGTTGCAGATGGAGGGGGTCAAGAGAAAAGGATGTTGGCACATAACTTGTTTTAGGAGCCTTTTACCCAGGTGGGTTCCGATGGGCAAGTGGCTCTGTCCAGCCAATAGAATGAATGTTACCCAGCCAGGAAAATGGCCAGGGGCAAGAAGATGAAGCAAGCCAGGTGGCCATGGCAAGGAGGGGGTGGGCTGTCAAGGTGCCAGACAGCAGCTTTTCCTCAACATATGCATTGGGAATCAGAGGCGACTCCTGCACCTGCAGGGAATGGAGGACAAGGCAGTGGGAAATCCTTAAGTGACAAGCTCGGTGAGGGAGCACAACTGTGCCACAATCCATATTTTCTGTTTCATCAGCTCTGTTGTCACCACAGACTCTAGTTTCCAAGAGCAGTGAAGTAGACTTCTCTGCTTCTCTCTCCCTCATTTTGCTGAATAGTAGGACTTCATTAAGTGCTATGGTCACATTCAGTATTATCCTGGATTGCCGTGTCTCTGGTAGCAAATGGGTTACCCAGATATTGCAAGTGGGTTATTGGTGACAGCTGTTGTTGTTTTTAAAAATCTGCTTTTCCATTAAAAGATATCTGAATCAAATATGGCCTGGCATTTTTGTGCCAGTGGTGATGTGTGGATGCTGTGAAAGTTTTGTGTGAACAAAGAGCAGCAATTCCAAAAAAACATCTAGAAGCATCTTGTCATTATCAACTGCAGCTGCGGAAGAAAATGAAGAGTAGCCCATGTGGCTTTTGCATAGTTTCTTCTCCACTTTCACCTTTATATGATGCCTTATTGGCAGCATTCCCTCATTAATAATCGCCAGTTAGGCTTCTTGACCCACCCCCACCCCCATTTTTGTGTTGACTCTTAGCTTGCCAGACTCAGGTTGCCAGTCTGAAAAGCTAGCTGCCATTTATTTTTATTTTACTTTTTTAATTTTTTATTTTTTTATTTTTTTGCAGAAGCCTGTCCTTTGACAATGTTTTTTTCCAGATGCACTTCCTTCCTTGTAGAAGACTAGGCTGCTTTATTTCCACTATTAAATAACTTCAGCTGCGTTTCAAACTTCCTCTTTCCACCGGTCTTTTCAGATTGTCCTTGACCAGGGCCTCTAGAAGGAATCTTAGTTCTGTTGAATCTATTGTTTATCTTGATATCCACAACTTAGAAATGCCAATAAATAAGGAAAATATAAAATGCCTTGAACAAGCTTGCCGTTATAAAGTCATATCATCCTCCCACCCCCCTGTCCCCCTTAATGGCCAGAACCCAAGGTGTGATTTAATTCCACACGCCCAAGAGGGCGTTGTGCTTGTACTTGTGCTTCTGCAACATCAGCCCACTGTGTCGTATCACAGCAGGTTTAAAGGGGAAAGCAGCCCCCAAGAGTGCCTTGCTGGCTGCACAGCGAGTGTTCACAACGTGCAAGGATTTAATGATGATGATAAGAAAATATGACACTGGTGGAATGCTCTCCCCTAGGAGGCTCACCTGGTACCTTCATGGCTGGTGACAAGGTTTCTCTTCAACCAGGCATTTGGCTGATTAGCATTCTATGACCTTTGAAATATGCCTGTGGGAGGGAGTTGGTTATTGGTTTGCTTTGGCTTTATTATGTATTGTGCATTTTCGTTTTGTATTTTTATGTTACAAACCGCCCTGTGACCTACAATTGAGTGGTGGAATACAAACTTAATAGTAGTAGTAAAGGTAAAGGGACCCCTGACCATTAGGTCCAGTCGTGGCTGACTCTGGGGTTGCGGCGCTCATCTTGCTTTATTGGCTGAGGGAGCTTCCGGGTCATGTGGCCAGCTTGACTAAGCCGCTTCTGGCGAACCAGAGCAGCGTACGGAAACGCCGTTTACCTTCCCGCCGGAGCGGTACCTATTTATCTACTTGCACTTTGACGTGCTTTCGAACTGCTAGGTTGGCAGGAGCAGAGACCGAGCAACGGGAGCTCACCCCGTCGCGGGGATTCGAACCGTGACCTTCTGATTGGCAAGTCCTAGGCTCTGTGGTTTAACCCACAGCGCCACCTGCGTCCCTCAGTAGTGGTAGTAATATGCAATCTTTCAAGAACAAGCCTTTCCTGCAGTGGCTCCGTTTGTGGAACGCTCTCTCCAGCGAGGTTCGCCTCTTCATTATATACTTTTAGGGGCCAAGCAAAAATGTTCCTCTTCAACCAGGCCTTTGGCTGATTTAATATTCCTCTGGCTTTAAAGTGTTTTTGTGGGAGTGCTATTGTTTCACTGTTTTCATTTTAACTATTTATTTCATTTTAACTATTTATTTATTTTACATTGTATTTCTATCTTGTGAACCGCTCTGAGATCTTGTGACGAAGAACTGTATATAAATCTAATAAAATAATAATAAAAAAACCAAAACAAAACAATGGGGCTGGTGACTTTTCTGTACCCACCCAAACTCTAAAACAGCTGTTCCCAATTAGCTCAGTACTGTAGAACACCCTTCTCCCCTCAAAAAGTCAAGCTTGATGAGGCCCTAAGCTATTGAAGGTAATGGCTATCCAGCTATCCTTTGCCAACAGCAAATTGTTGTTGTTTTTTGTGTTGAATATATGCTATATGGTAATTTATGGACCTAATAAGTATCTAAAGCCATTTGCCACTGTTGCTGTATGTAGGTTTTATTTCATTTGTTTTTTATCTTATATTTTGGAAATGTACACCCATGTTTTTTCCTTTAATTTTTTGGGGGGCCCCCAAGAGAGTGGGGCCCTAAACTACAGCTTGTTTAGCTTATAGGTAAATCCTGCACTGTGTAGGCTACACCCATTGGGAACCACTTCTCTAAATATTTATTCGTTGGCTTAGGAACAGTTCCGTTCTGCAAGGGGGCAGCAGCAGCCGCAGCAGCCGCAGCAAGAGCCGCCCTCTTTCCATGCACAGAACACTTCTCATAACCAGACAGGTAGGGCAGGTGCCCGACCTTTGCCGTTTGCCTACACTGGGGAACAATTTTTTCCCTCCATTTTCTGTTGCATGAGATTTTTCAACTGTTCATATATGTTCTTTCAATGCTGCTTTCAAATCTGAAATCAATTTTCGCGTACATGCTATAGTTACCTTGCGATTTCATATTTACACTGGGGATAAGTGGACACTGACACGTTGATGTACCCTAACCACATGGTAGTTATTGTTCTGCAAACTTACTTTTTCTTTATTTTTATGTAGTTTTGTAACCTAAATATCTGTATTTTCCGGATCGGACCACGGCTTCTTCAAGTAGACATAAAGTGCTATCGGGTATGGAGAAGCGAGACCAAAGCAGCAGAAAAGCACAACACACACCCGCGCATGCGCTCTCCACTGCGCGCCCCACCCTCCCTCCTTCCCTTCCCGGCGCCGCTCGCCACTGCGCATGCGAGGGCAAGGCGGCGGCGGCGCCGTCGTCCTGGGCGTGGCGCGCTCTGACGCCCGCCCTCAGGCTGCTGGGGTCGCGCGGCTGCCGCTATTAGTAGCCTGCGCGCCTCTCCCGTGAAGCATTCGCCGTCGGGGCGCAGGGAGGCGGGTCGGCCTTCGTCCTCTCGCTGCTTCCCCCACCCCCTGGGAGTAGCTCCTGCTCGTCCGCACCATGGAGGCGCAGAAGGTGAGCGGGTTTGAGGGGCTGGTCATGGTGGGCGTCGTCGTCTTGTGCAGGAGCTCTTCCCACCGCTCTGGTTTGTGAGGGAAGAGAGGCGCCTTTTTCCCCTCAGGAGGAGGGGAAAGCGGGCCCCCCACCCCGCGAGTGTCTGGAGGAGACTCTCAGACGCGTGTGGTGGACATTCCTCCCCCCCCCCCGTTTTTGTTTTTACGTGGAACCCCTAACGCGCGCAAAATGCTCGTGGGAACGCGGCATTCACGGGTGGCTGCAAAAATAATGGAATTGCAATGGTTGTTGCTGTCTGCGAGCATATACGCGCGCTCACGCCCCAGCAATGCAAGCTGCCGGGCTTCCTCGTCGTTGCACTTTGCAGGCTAAGCAAGCCCCGTGGATGGCGGCGGATTGTGCATGCAGGGGAAGGGGAGGGTGTGAATGAGTGGCGTGTCGTCGCCGGGTTGCCTCTGTCTTGTTAGCCCTCTCTCCCCCCCCACCCGCTTTCTTTGGCTTTCCCACGCCTTTCGGGGACCCTATTTTATCCCCCTTGACCTGAAATGCGAGAACCACCTCTTTTAAAAGCTGTTTGTTTTGAACCCTGCAAATTTCGTGGCGTTTCCCTGCATCAGTACCTCTTTCCTCTTTCTTTCTTTCTTTCTTTCTTTCTTTCTTTCTCTCTCTCTCTCTCTCTCTCTCTCTCTCTCTCTCTCTCCTCCCCCCCCCCGCACTTCTTTGTCTTTTTTTTTTTTTGCTTAACAAAGAGTTCTGGTGATTACAACAGCTTGCTCAGCGTTTTTGTGGCTTTTCAGTTGATCCCAATAAAAGGCATGATGTCAACTGTTTTCCCTTCTTGCTACCGTTATGTTCAGCGTTAATAAGGATGCATAGGATTGCGGTGCTAGACTGCCATCCTAAATCCATTGACTACATAGTAGGCAGTGCTGAATTTACTCTTGAGTAAACACGCTTGGACTACCAAGTCTGTGTGCGCTTGAACACAGTAAGGTTTCTGAGTTAGGTTGCCAATCTCCTCCTCCTCCTCCTGCCTGTCTCTTCTTCTTCTTAAAAAACTGAAGAGTGATGCAAAGTTTTTCTTGCACTAAACAGGGAGAAAATAATTACGCATTATAACTTGCAAAAAGTATTCAAATAAAGTTGGGTTAGGATTCTCAAAATACGCATCTGTGTCAGTACATATGAATCATAAAACATTTGTCAACAGTGTCACATTTTTTTACTTACTCCACACTGAGTTTACTGACATGCATGAGCAATTTAAATGGAACTGCTTATTAGCTAAGATGACTTAATTATTTTAGTGGAATATCATTTTATTCTTGGTGGGTTTCCCAGTTTCATGGAGCAGCACATAGGAAGTACTTTTGTAATACTTCCATGTGATTTAAGTAAACCTCTGAAGTTCATTTTTTAAATACAACCTTTTGGGTAGTTGGTGACAATGGAAGCGAAGGACTAATCAGTCACTATTTGTCAGTTTAATTTGTTTTTGTTTTTTTTAAAAGCAGCATACAAATATTTCACGTATGGCTGCAATCCTGTACTCACTACCTGGAAGTAAACTCAGTGGAACAGAATTCTGAGTTGGCATGCATAGGACTGAACTGTAATTTGACCTGTTATTTTAATATACTGGGTAAGAAAATGAGCCACGAGATAGGAAGTACTGGTTCTAATTTCACTTCTTGCATGAATTAATTTATGACCTTAAAGCAGAAGTAGCTAATGTGTTGCCCTCTAGATGTTGTTGAACTACAACTCCCATCATTCCTGATCATCAGATGTGTTGACTGAGTCTGATTAGTTGTATTCCAAAACATTTGCAGGGGCCGGTATTGACAACCCCTGCCTTAAAGTACTTATTAAACACTTTTTAATATTAAATAGGACTTTATCTAATTTCCCAAGCATTCCACTCATATGTTCTGTCCTACAGTAAGGGCCATTCACCTTGCATTTCATTTAAACCATTGGCAAGAAATGCAGACTGTAGCTGTATTGAGGCTGTGTAACCAAAACATTCATATTTGGATGCGTGACTTGAAATCTGTGGGTTAACAAGGTATTGTAAACTTAAACCCAGAATGTTGGGTTTGCACTGAAAATTGGCTGTAACCTCATTACAGATAAATCTTCTCAAACATACAGCGTATAATGAGGATAACATTCTTATTTGGGGGTACGTGAATCCCAAGTAGGACATCTGTACTCGAAACAGCTGGCTGTCTCTTTATTGAATAGAATTTTAGTTTACTTTTTAGGGTAAAAGTCCTCACAAAGGAAATCACAGCACACTTTAAAATACAAAACAGACCTTAAAAACAGTAAAAATTCAATACATGAAACATTAAAACAACAAATAGTTATATTGGAATAGCAGCAGATACAGCCTCAGGTAAAAGCATACAGGGTGAACTAACATTAACCAAAGGCAGACCAGAATGAATATCCTTAAAAGGTCAGCAAAGCGGGGCTATATAGACTTCTGGTGAAAGGACACACCAAAGGGTTACAAGTGTTTTGGGCAGATTATTTAAGCAGTGTTTTAAAGCACATAACTAAATATGTATTGTCTTGCAATTGATCTATCTGAGCCACTCTGGGAGCCTTTTAGCTGAAGAGGAGGGTAAGAATTTTCAAATGTTAAAGTGAATTTTGGTGGCTGGAAAAATGGGTGCTTGACATCCTCTCTATTCCCACATCGGTTTGCTCTGTAGTATGAACAACTACTCTAAATTTATTTGCATTCTATTTGTACTACAGGGATTTGCTTCGTAGTAAGAACTTAATATATGCCGCTTGAAGTTCGTTGGAAAGAGTAAATGGATGTAGACTGGATTGGCAGGAGGATGACTCCTGAAACATCTAATTGTCTAATTTTGTTCAGTTCTGAACCATTCAGTTCCGAGATGCTTTACTCTGCCTCTTCAAGAAGGAAAGGGGGAAGTAGGGGAAAGAGCAGTTAGATATGTCAATAACCTTTCTGGTAAATGAATCTGCTTATGTTGCCTTCAACCATCTGACATCATAGGCTGGGGAATATATGTGGATCACTTCATAACCTACCAAATGAATATTTAGACAGTTCACCTGAAACCTCTAATACTGGATTCTTCCTAATACTTGCTCAACTATACAGCACTGGCTTAATTTTTTTCTCTTGATTGATCATGATTGTGCATCCAGTAGAGTAATTGTGGGGTTGGCTACTCTACCTTGTACACAGGAGAAAACACTACATCTCAAAGTGGCACCATCCTTTTAAAGTCATAGAAAAAGGTTAAGATTCCTTTGCTGCTAGGCTCTGTATAGGATGCTGTTTCCTTCCTACCAATGATGTAACACACTTAACCACACATCATAGTAGATCTTGTAGTGATTATGTATTTAAATAAAACATGTTTCCTAGCTGTTGCTGTGTTTGGCCAACAAAGAGTGCAATATGCACAGAGAGCGCAGAATTTATGGTTATTGTCTTAGATCAAGAGGCGGAAGAGAGCCCGATACTTTGGGATAAAGAAAAATACTCAATTGCTAATCCATTTATACTGGATACATCATCAAACTGTAATTTAGAAAGGAATGAACTATTTGTATGATAGTCTTGGAAACACACAGTACATTAAATGTCTATTCTGATTCCCTTTGACCCAGAGGCTTTATGAGACAAATAACTATATATAGCTGTGTGGGGTAGATTTTGTGAGAGTTGAGTTGCACAGTGAAGGAGACCATTGCATATATAATCCTACAAAATCTTTTTAAATCTCATGTTTATATGTGAATATACTGACCTGATAAAGTAGGACAGTGTGCTAGGCAACAGAAGAAACTCCTATTAATAATTCAGTATAAAGCAAGTTGAGCAAGGTTAAATGTGTGCATCTAGAGGAAGAAATATGCTACCATCAGACCACCAGAAGAGGATGTAACTTGGGAATTGCCCAGGTAAAAGCATAGTTACATCAAGTGAGTTGCTGTCTGTTACTAGCTGCATGACTTTCTATACTGTAAAAGTATTAGTTGGTTTCTGTATTCCAGTTAATGTGGAAATTGGCTACAACTCTAGTTTTTTGTTCTGAAGTGATCATGAATATATGGATTAATTTTAAGCCTTGGTTAATATTTAGTATGAATAATTAGAATTAGAACCTAGACTGGTCCTATGTACAGAGGTTGATGTCTGGTTTTTCAAATGAATTTCTTGGTTCTTACTAGCATAATGCATGAGTAGTAGATGATACATCCAGAGGTAATCGCTTTCTTCTCAAACTGTCAAGAGGGAACTGGACAACCTTACCTTGTGGCTTCTTGTATTTAGAACACATAACTTCAGTGCTAATCTAGCTAGTAAAATATTGCTGGATCTATTTAAGAGAATAAGAACAATATGCCTATAATGGTGTACGTTTTGTTATAAAAAATTGTATTACTACATGTATGAAAATGACAAATTACCACTCTTGCTGCTTAAGTAGCACTTAACTGTAGGATTTTCATCTGTTTTACACAGTAAACCAGCACTGAAATGTAAAAGTTGTTCTTCATTGTCTGTACTTTCATTTGATGAAGTTCATCTTCTGACTTAAGCTTCATTCTCAAACCTTGTTTAGGGTGAGACAGTTGGTAAGTGAAAATAACACAACGTGGTATGTTTGTATTTTAGGAGTTGACTGTGCAATGAACTGTCTTGGCACCTTTCAAATAGAAATCTTTGCCCTCAAATTAGCTATTGCTTCTCTGTATATGGATATAAAACTATTTCTATGTTGTAAGACTAAATGGGTTCTAATAAATCCAAATAAGAACAGATGAGCGTGTTCTGACTTGCACAAACTGACAGTTATGCTTATAGGATCTAAGGCTTAACCTAAGAGGTATATAGACCTGTAATATCACTTAGATCACCTGGGGAAATTGTGCTAGTGGTTCTGCACCCTGTAGGATATAATATGCCAGTGACCCAAAAATGGCCATCTTCCACAGTTGCCACTGTATTGTGGAATTCCCTTGTCTCCAACATACATGCAGCAACAACTGTCAGTTGCTTCAGAAATCTTGTAAAAGCACATTGGGTTGCTCCAGGCTTTCCCTGACGCTTAATATTGGTCCCTGTCTTTCTTTGTTTGAATTCACTGACTTCTTGCTTTTGTGTTTATATGCCTTTATATTACTAGTTATGTGCCACATTTGTTCTAATAATACATTTTTGTGTTCTACAGTGCTTAGAGATTTTTAAAATATTAAGGAGTTTATCAATGCTTTTAAATTAAAAAAGGTCTTAACTGAATCATTTGCAAAAAACAAACAAGTCAATAACTCTGAATAGTATTGGTCCCAATTACACCTGACTATGGTAGCTATTAAGCCACTTGCTATTAAACATGCAAGTCTGTCTGACCTCACCAGTGTTGCTGCGTTGAAGTAAACAGTTTTTGACATTATTGTTGTTTTTGTTAAACATTACAAACAATAAATGTAACCAAATGAAATTATTTCAGTTACAGGCTTGTACAGTGCAAAAGCACAGTACAGAAGCAAGAAGGGTATATACACCAAGGTAATATGACCTTGCATATATTAATTAAATTTACTCTTCTAATTCTAGGAAGCTCTGCAGAGGATTATCTCCACACTGGCCCACAAAAATGATGAAATCCAAAACTTCATTGAAACTCTAAATCACACTTTAAAAGGTGTACAGGTAGGTTGTAGAGCTCATTACGTTCAAAGCTGAAAGGGCTTCTCTAAACAGTGTCGTTTTCTTTAATACTGCAATTGCAAACCATATAGGCCAAGGGCCAAACCTAGATAATGGCTGTGCAAGTCATGTGAGTTTATTCATGGGTACACATCCTTAGTCTTTGAAGCCAGTGAGCTGCACTGTCAGCACGCCTCACATTAAAGTCTTTTTTTCTATGTTGGTTGTTGTGTTGCTCTTAAATTGGGGTGAAGGGGCTTCAAATCTTTTCCCAGCCTTGCTCAGCTGGTAGAGCACAAGAATCTTAGTCTCAGGGCCATGGGTTCAAGTCCCACATTGGGCAAAAAGGTTCCTGCATTGCAGGGGTTGGACTTGATGACCATTGAGTGTCCCTTCCAACTCTACAGTTCTGTGGTTATATCTGAGGATAACGCCATGCACACTTCCCAAAGCCCCTTGAAGAAGGGCAAGATGATACAAATGCGCTAAATATGTAAATGAGGCAATTGTATTATTGGAGCAAGCACCAAGATTTTCCTTTTATATCAAGCAGTTTAGAAAATTTTAAATTAAATTAAAATGCCTCTTACTAAAATCTAAAATCTCTCTCTCTCTCTCTCTCTCTGTGTGTGTGTGTGTGTGTGTGTATATATATATATATATATATATGAATGAAAATGTGTCAAAATAAATTAATTCAATAATACTGCTAAGTCAAGTGGGTTCCCAGCTGTTTTTGGACTACAACTCCCATCATCCCTAACCACTGGTCCTGCTAGCTAGGGATGATGGGTGTTGTAGTTCAACAACAGCCGGGGACCCGTGTGATAGTGATTTCTTTGGGCCAGGATGACTGAAGGAAAAGGGCAAGCCTGTGAATATTACTATATGTATTGATAATGATCTGCAGTATCCTTTATTATATTAAGGAAATGGAAGTATGCTACTGTGATAAGAACAAGGTTCTGTGATGCTTATTACATTTTATAGTTTGTGCTGAAGAAATAGACAAAATCTGACAGCACAACTCATAACTGAAATTTTGTTTACAGGCTAATTCTTCCAATGTAATTGCTGAGTTGGATGAGGAGTTTGATGGCTTATATGCAATACTTGACGAGATGAAGGAGAGCATGTCAACTAGTATCAAGCAAGAACAAGCTCATAAAACCCAAGAACTTCAGGTAATTAGGTTTCTGATGATTTTGTAGTAGAACTCTCAAGCTCTGTCAGGATAGGGAAATGTGGGCTAATTAAATTAGTAGACTGCCACTTAATTAGCTTTGCACGCAGCACAAGTTTGCTTTCTAAAACACTTTAAATTCTGTAAGCTTCTGCAAACATTTCACTCGCTTTGCACTTGTAACCTTCTCTGTGGTACTTCTGTAAAAGTAGGTTGCGTTTTGAATGTTGACATGCAAATGACCACACAACCCCTCTCAGTTCTTTGGAATTCCTGGAGCACTCTTGAGTGAGTGAGGATTACTTCACGTGCCTTGTTGCATGCCTCTTACTATTAGACTCCTGGAGTTTTTATTTCTACCAACAAGCGCAGAGAGCAAACTTAAAAATTGACATTCAGGTTTGGCCCTGTGTGCCTTGTATGAAAGACTTGTCAGCTACATGTAGGCAGCAGGAATGTGTAACTCTTGTTTCTTTAGTTGCTGGGCTACAATACAGGACTCTGAATTCAAGCTTTGTGGCAGACTTAAAAAATGAAGAAAAATGCTAGCTAATAGGCATATTGTACAGAATGCTTTCTGTTTGAATGTACATGGTTTATACACATATTTTTAACATCTCAATCAAATTATTTTGGCTGATGCCGCATTATCCTTGAAGGAAAATACAGCAGTGACCAAAGCAGCCAACAACACTAAGTTGCCAATTTTAGATTGTATAAAGCCTTTCTCTGTACCAAACATGCTTAAAACCCCTTTGTCAGCACATTAATTAAATGAAATAGAAGCCAGTAGGCTTGGATAGCTTGCACAGTTCAGTTTTCATATATGAAAAGCAGTTACTCTTTCCAGACTTCTGATTAGCACTTATGCTTTAAGAGTTTGATATGAGACTTAAATTGACTGCATCCAGTTCTGTTCTTTGAGTTGAGTTTTACACATGTAACCTATCCAGGGAGGCAGTTATCTTCAATCTGCTCCGTGTAATGTTTAATTTTTGGAGCAAATTGATTCAGATGCTTAGTTGTCTAGATTTCCTTAACTATTTTTATTTGTCTTACTAAAATATTCATTTCCCATGTTTCAATAAAATATGTGACAAACCACAGAAGGCAGAAAAGAAAACAAACTGCTTAGAACTTCTTGGGAAAAGCATATTGGAGTCCAGTATTTTTCCTGCAATAGTGGTTAAATAAGGCTGTCCAGAAAGGACACTCTTCAGTTTTCTACAGGGAGCAGCATTGCTCTAATATATAGGCTGAGCAGAAAGTGAGGAAAGGAGGTTTCCCTAATGTCTCCAACTTACTTTTGAATGGATGCAGAGATTTATGGACACAGGGCTGGAAGTTCAAGTATGGCCAGCAGATGGAAGTACAGTATGGAATTAGTAAATGTGAGATTAATTTGGGCTGCTCTTGCTCCTCATGTCTACAGCTTCACTGTGTGTGTAAAACAGTATTGGAAACATGGCATCTGACTTGTCTTTGTAATCCTGGCAATCTGTGAAACCTCATACTGAAGGAGGACTGGAATGTGCTTGCACTAACTAAGAATCATCGAATATTAGAATTGGAAGGGACCACAAGGGTCATCTAGTCCAGCCCATTGCAATGCAGGAATCTTTTGCCCAACGTGGGGCTCAAACCCACAACCCTGAGATTAAGCTCTTCCAACTGAATTATCCCAGCTGTTCCTGGTAGAGCAAAATTTTTCATGGTTTGCAAGTATCCACAGTTGTTGTGCTTCCATGGCTCTGTTAGTCACCGTAGCTGATTCTTTCACCCTGTTCCTTGAAATAATTCTACCTTCTTCTGACAGCTTAAATGTATACAAAGTTAGTTAGTTCAACTTGATCATGGAATTTTGGTATAATTCAGAATCTCGGTGTACCAGATGCTGTCAAATAACTTCGCCTCTTAAATCACTGGTGCACATGTGGCTTTTGACAATACAGATACAGCAGCTGACCTGTCTCTCCAGGGATGAATATACAGTATTTGAAATATTAAAACACACCAACAGCATCTGGTTAGATCAGGGCAGTCCCAACAAACATGAGCCGCAAGAAGACTTTGACACAGAATTCATAGGCCACACTGAATTAAATTTCCACGTTGTAAATTAAAATGTTTGTGATACATTTAATATTATTTAATATACACGGTTAATATATTTAATTAAATCTATCAATGGTATATTAAATATAATCCCTTAAATTCTTAAACGAGTTTAATGCACAAACAGATTTATGCACTTTCGGTAACAATGCATGACATTTCCCCCCCCCCCCCAAGCTTTCAATATGATTTTTCTTGAATGTTGCCGAGGGCACCAAAAAAGTCCTCGTGGGCCGTGAGTTGGACCACCCTGGGTTAGATAGTAAAATGTCTGGTAATCTCACCATGCAAGGAAAAAGAACTCTGCTTCGTGAATTGCCAAGACTTTCAGATAGTTGGAAACCTTGTTTGTCAATACTGTACTGTTGTATTGAGCAACATGACATGGAACCTTAATATTGTATGCCTATACTGTCACCTAATAGCCTATGACACCCCCTGAACCTTATAGTTGCCTATCCAGCACAACGTAAGGGAGTAAAGATGCTGGGATCTAAAACTGTGCAAACTCAAGAACAGGCATTCTAGAACACACTTCTTCAGAATTAAGAGCTGCTTCTCCAGCCTACACTTGGTGCACTTCCTGAAGTAGATCACACCTTTTATTGAGCCTCACTCTTCATAGGCTAAGATAAATAGCTGTGTTACCTTGAACTTGGCGTGCCAAAGTACATCGTACTCAGCCGGGAGTGTCTTTTTATGGTCATACGTTTATGGGGTGGGTGGGGAATAAACCTGTGTGAGTGTACAACTGATTGCAGAGGTCTGAGGGGGCTGAGTTCCACAGAGAGAACTCTATCTAATTTTCCTCTGCCAGAAAGGTTTTTTCCCCCCAATACTGCATGTTAGTGTTTTTTTATCGTGTTTCATGCTAATATTTTATGTTTACACTCTATGCTAAATATGCCAAGGATTGAACTTGAGGCCTTCTTTAGCATGTGTTCCATAAGGGCCTCATCCATTTGCCAGTAATGGGCATCTGGAATTTTTTGGGGGGTGGAGAGAAGATAGCCCTGTGTTCTCTTAGTAACTCCTGCTATGGACTGGCTTACTGAACAGCTTTCTGTTATTTTCCTAGAATCAACTTAGCCAATGTAGTAATGCCCTGGAGAACTCTGAAGAACTGTTGGAATTTGCTGCTCGTTCACTGGACATAAAGGACCCTGAGGAATTTTCAAAGGTATAAAAGTGTGCCTGACATGAAGAAGAAAAGGAGAGGTGCTGTTTAATTGCATGCCATTTGCCTGCAACTACTTATAGATTGTGTAGTAAACATTGTGGAGGACTTATTGTGGAGCTGATTAGAATCTCTGGAGTGATCAACGTTACGTTCTGAGCGTTTCAAGTACATGTATTCAGACTACCCCAGGATAATAGTACTATTCTGATTACTGGTTTTGTAATCAGTAGGTAGTAGTTTTCATGAATGAAATGACAACTATAGGGTGTGTTTGAGGAGCAGGAGGAGAAGAAGTTATATTGTACAGTGGTACCTTCTTTTACAAACTGTTCTGGAAGTCCGTTTGTACACCAAAAACGTTCTTAAACTGAGGTGCACTTTCCCCAATGAGACTTCCTGCCACCGGTGCCCTTCCACCAGTCAGCTTCCGTTCATCTTCCGGGACAAAGTTCGCTAGCTGGAACACCTACTTCCGGTTTTGTAGAGTGTGTTGCCTGAATCGTTCGTTAACAGGACTGTTCTCAGATGGAGGTACAACTGTACAGCCAAAAGTGCTTTGCTTGTGGAACTGTTTATACTGCCCATAGGCTAACACCCATAGAAACTGAATTGGTCTGTGCTATTATAGTTCAGAGAGTTTTAAGAGTGCTTAGTTGCTAAAAAAAATTAAGAGGAAAATTAAGATGACATAATGCTTGCATAATTTTATTAGGTACCTGCAGAGAATTATGTCCATTCACATACTTGATTGAAAATTTATACACAGCAAGCATGTTGGGGTCAATATTAGGTCATCAGTCTTGTCTCTGCTATAGGGTTGGATCCAGAGAAACACTGGTAGAAGGGAATGACTTTTTTGCCACATACCTTCCCAGCAACCCTCTGCCTACCCTCCCAGGATCAGGGAACCTTCATGAATGGAGTGGGCTTGGGGGAGGAGGAACCCCCCAAATTAGGCAGAGCCACCTTCTGTGACTGCGTTCTCCACTCTTGGAAAGTGTCTCTGCCTGATATTTTTGATGGTTCTCAAAACAGCAGAATCTTCTGACCTTAGGGAGAGGGCCCCTTCTGGCATTTCTGTAGATCCAGCTAATAAAATGATTGACTAACTGCTAAATGGGAATATAGTAGGCAAAATAATCTACTTTTAGAAACACAAACTTGGCAATGCATTAAGTTGCCTCTGCGTGTTAAGTAGATTTATTACGTTGGCTTTGCCAGTCAGTGCATCATGCCTCCAGCTGATGTGTATTAGCAATGCTACATTGACTCCGAACCATGTTCCTTGTACATTGGTTGGAAAGGAAGCTGATTGATCCAATCAAGGGCAGGCAATGCTTAAACTGATACAGTATATGAAAGAATTCCAAACGATCCATCAGAATCTGAATTTGTTCTCCTCTTTGTGTTGAAGGGCTGCATTTGAACTTTGTCTTTATACTTTTAACAAGCTCATCTGAAGTTGTTTGTGTTATTTCCCTGGAAATCAAACCCAAGGGAAAAACAGAATTATAAAACTTGCTCCTCAGGTTCTGTTTGTTCACCATTAATGCCCATCCTAGTTTTTGACTTAACTAATGCTACACTATTTCATCACAGTTCCTTTCCATTTGTTACAGTGTTTCCCCTGGACTTCATCCAGGTTCCTTGTTCTCAGTTCTTGGATTGTTTCCACCTCGCTATGCCCGACAACAAATCCTAATTATTGGATTTTTTTGCCCTATCTTTTTGTGCCTGCCAAACAGCCATAGACAAAATAACTTGGATTTGTAAACTTTTTAAATACATGCCTGTATGTTTGAAAAGTTGCTTATCAGCCTTTTCTGTACTAGCAAGTTATTTGTGGACTATAACCAAATTATACTTGCCTGCTGTAACAAGGTTAATTTGGCTCTCAAATAATTCTCAGGGTAGCCATTTCATACTGAGATTTTCTGAAGCAATTCTGAAAATGACCTGGGTTGAATTGAGGGATAGGGTAGCTCAGGGAGAAAAGGATTGCTGTTGCTTTTGTGGTCAGAGTAAAGACTTATCATGAAAGCGGACTTTATATACCTTTCAATGGTCTTGTATAATTGCTACTCTTCAGCCTTACCTTGTGACTATCAAAGTAAATGGTGAATAAATTTGCCATGAAAAATGCTGCACTACGTATAACTGCTGAGGTAGCAGACACACAATGCTTGTTGCAGAAGACTGCATTCCCTTCCAGCTAAATTCATTATAGTAATCTCTACTTTGATCTAACAACTTTTAATTATTTATGCAATAAGCAACTTAAGCAACCATTCTGGGTGGTTGCAGGGGGACTTTGCTTAGAATATCTGCTTCTGGTTTTGTAACTTGCATTTTAAGATGGTCTGGTTGGAGATAGGAGAGGAAAACGTTGTGGAAGCATTTTCATTCATGGTGCAGATAGCATTGAGTTTGAGATGCAGGAAGCAACAGCCTCCCTAATTTGAAGTTCGTGATCTTGGGCAGGTTGTTGTGGTTCACAGTATCTCAGACAGCAGGTGAGGATGTTTTATTTTCTGTTTTGTTCTGACTGGTCATCTTATCACCTAAGACACTTGTTTGTGGTGATAAGATATAAAATCTTAATACATAGTCTTTTCCTGTGTTCAGTACATAAGGAATGAAGATAAAAATGTTTGCAAAGTATCCCCCGTGCCATGAAAGGGATTAAAATTTAAAACTCTTTATTTTTTGTTGGCAAACAGAGATGGCAATGTCCTAATTTCTACTGTATTTGTGATAGTTGTAATAGCAAACAACTTTTAAATGTATATGAAGCTGATGTTTTAGTTTCTTAATTCGGATTCTATGTTGTGTCACTTACTTGTTATAATATTTTGAAACATTAATTATCTGTGGGCCAGACAAGGAACCCTATCTTAGCCAGGCCTGTGCATGTTCACTAGAGTATAAGAACTTGGGGTGCATTCCAGTATTTCTTGCCACCGATAACAACATTTTGTTGCCTAGGGCCAGATGAATGATAAAACTCCCTGAATTCAAAAATTGCTTTGATCAGGGCGGTTTGTGGAAAGATATTGTGCTCAATATTCATGGAGGGGTATGGTGGAAATGGTTCAACTCTGGCACAAATCTAACACTCACTACCTAATTGCTGACATGCCCAACGAAACACTCAAATGCCACTTGGCCCGATCACATTAAAAATAGAGCACAGAAATTTGATGACAGTGTCATACGGAATTAGTTTAGCATGGCTTGTTGAAATTCCTTTTTGTTTTTGTTTTGTTTTTTTGCTTGTTGCTGAATTTCTAATAACTTTGTATTAACAATGGCTTATGAGGCAGGTCTTCAGTGGTAAAATTCTGAGTTGGTTTTGAAACCAAGCTGGACATCTGTGAGATTGATAACTCTAACTCTTTCTTGCATGTTACTGCAGATGAAACTTGCATGAAACTATTAATTACCTTCTCTCTCTTCTTCCTGATGCACCTCAAGGCTGCCAGACAGATCAAGGATAGGTACAGTACCAACTTATTTGTTTCTGTTCCTAGTCTTCCATAATTGTCGTTGAAGATTCTGGCTAAGTAATTCTTAACAGTTTTCACTTAAGATTCATGCAACTAAAAGATAAAATTAAGTTTTGCATGCTGATAAGACAACACTGCTGTGTTTTGGCTTTACACTTCCTTCTCCCTGTGTGGTGTGTGAACTTTAATTCAGCGACAAAAGAACACAGGCACATTTTTAAACAAATGTGTTTGGAAGGGGGAAAAATCATTCTTAATGCTGATCCCTTAAAGTAGGTGCCATTTCAAATTTAATTTGGAAGTGGCACAGGAGGCCAATGTTTGTTTTATATGGTATGTAGGCCTCACTTATGGGATATCAGAACTTGTTAAGGCAACATAATTTGAGCTGGATTTTAGTTATCTAAAACAGCATGGTTACTAGAAAAATCAAAAAATGGTACACTTGTCCCTTATCTGTTCCCAAAACAGTTGAAGCACATTCACATATGTATAGCTGAAATTTGGTGCAGCCCCAAAACATCCAAAGTGCAGAAACATAAAACTTTTCAGTTTTAACTTGCAATGTTCACCTTCATTATTATTCTAATACCTCAGACAAAGAATAGAGAAAGATAGGCTATATGTAAGACATAATATTTCCATGTCATACACCTGAATTATCCTCAGATTTGGGCAGGGAATGAGAAGACTTCCAGTGGCACTCAATAACATTTCTCAGCTTTTGCTTAATAGACACTTCATTTACTATTGTTATATGAACGCAGCACCAAGACTCCCTGCTCTTTCATATGCTCACTTTTATGTTTAAGCTTTATCATGTATGGACTCCTCTTTCTGAAATGAGTCTTGACTATTAAGGGCCAAGCCAAGCATTGGTTATCAGGAGCATACTGCCAAAAAAACACCAGCTGATGATAGTCAACCTTATGTTAACTGGTTAGAGGCATTGTGTGCAACTTGACCATCACATTGAGCCCCTTCATGCCTCTTTAGAGTGGGGTCTTGGAAAACGTCCAAGTTGCTGCTCATAGCATCAGCAGGCGTCCAGAAGTTATAAGCCTTGTGAAACTTCCACAGAGAGGTTTTGTATGATGCGCTCTATCCTTAAGATGTTGCAGGAGCAGAAGTGGATAGTTACAAACCCTCAGCATGGTAGCTTGGGTGGCTGAGAGGTCTCTGGAAAATCCCCCAGCCTGAACCCCCGCAAAAGATTTGTTCTGGCTCTCAACTTGTCATCAGTAGTCGATCTAAATAAAGGTTTTGGTATAGTTTGGTGAAGTGCCAAGCTCCAGTATCGGCTTCACTTTTTATCTAGACATTTTGAAATATTGAAATCCCTGTCTGTTGTTTTTGGCTCCTGCCTGAATGATTTTTACCTGATTTCTACCCTTTTAGAGTCACAATGGCTCCAGCGTTCCGCCTGTCCTTGAAACCCAAAGTGAGTGACAACATGACGCACCTGATGGTGGACTTCTCTCAAGAAAGGCATATGCTCCAGGCTCTAAAGTTTTTGCCAGGTAAAAATAAGTCTGCACAGCATTGAGCTCTTTGGAATACTGCTGCCCTGTTTCCAAAGAGGTAAGGAATAATCTTCCCTTTTGCTGTAAAGATGGCTATGGGTGAGTGTGAAATGCTCTCCTCCCACTTCCCACAGTGTATCGTTTTGTATATATTTAAAGTGAGCGTGGGACAAAGGAGAACACTCTCCTCACTTCACATCCAGACAGGACATATCGGAGAAGGGAGAGTGGCAGAGAGGTTGGTAGCTGTGTAGATGACAAACAAGAAATACATTTGTAAGTTTGCAGAGTTCAACAAGGGGTGGCTAGTTGGTGGATCGTATCTGGCCCTCAAAAGGTCTTTTGTGGCCCCCATGATCCCCCCCCAGATTTCTTACTTTTGAAAAAGTAAGTGTCTTAAAAATATTGACCATCCCTGTGATTCCCCTGCTTTGATGCCAAAACGTTAACTATTTCTTAATTGCTTCCATAGTTCTTGTGTTTATTGTGCACCTGAAGATCCATTTAAATTTAAATTTAAATCTGTTCCATTTAAAACTTCAAAAAACTTTTTTTTTAAAGCAGATTGTTCTGTGGGTCCCCTGCAGCGAACCAAAGGGATTTGGAATCCCCCCACCCCGGCTGACTTCCCCAAATTTATTTTTTAAGGTTCTTCAAATTTATTTTTCATTGAGTTATTATGAATAATGAACGAGAAAAGCAATTTGAAATAGATGATGGGGGAGCCTTTTTGAAGGGAGCCTTGAGAACTTCATTTCTCAACATGACTGCTTTGACATGCAGGTGCTGGGGTCTTGTCCATAGATTAGGGCAACCTTCTGCCAGAAAAGGGCTAGCCACTCTGTGTCTAAACTCATAGCTCACAGATATAATACTGGAGCTTACTTAAGCTGCCCATCAGACTATTATTTATTTATTTATTTTATTATTTATTAATTGAACTTGTATACTGCCCTATACCCGGAGGTCTCAGGACGGTTCACAGAACAAAATATAAAACCACAAAATATATAATCAAAATAACAGCTCAATAAACATTTTAAAATCAAACCAACCAAAGGCCTGGTTAAAAAGGAACGTTTTTGCCTGCCGCCTAAAGGTGTATAGGGGCATAGCGGGATCACCAGCCGAACCTGATGGAAGGCACTCCGGGCCACTGAGACTCTGGGTGCTGCAAATGTACTTTTGCAGAGGTTTTGCAAGGATGCAAGTTCCCCTATTTTGCACAGCCACTTTGCAAGTAGTATTTTTGTGCCTGAGTTTGCTCATGCAAGGATAATCTAAGACTTTGTATTGAAATATCAAATTAAAACTGTCAGGATTTCAAATCTGATTTTATCTTGTGGATGATGAATTGTTTGGGATCTTTTGGTATAAAGACTTTGTGCAGTTCTGAGTGTTTGCATTGGACACTAATTCTAACTGATGGCTGAAACAGCTCAGCTTTAAATGAGGAAACCCGAAGTGAGTCTTCTGACATTCCTAACTTTTGACATTTTATACTGACTGTCTTGCTGACACCTCAGTCCAGAATGTCAAAATACTTATTGGTTTGTGTCTTTGACAGCTTCTCATTGTTCCTGCTTCTCGTTCTCGCCCTCTCTAGCAAAAAACCAAAAGTATATATATCAGAAACAGACCTTTATCCACCCCGTGTTTGAATTTGAATGTAGCAAACTTCTTTTTCAGCTTTCCCAATTAAGAGAAAATAGTAATCTCTGGGATTAAATATTTAGCTAGTCTAAAAGTCCTGGGGCTTTTACCCCTGAAGAAGGGGACAGTCTTACTTTGCTGTGCTATAATAGTTGTAGGGAACCTTGCTGTCTGTCTCTCTCTCCCTCTTTCCCTCCTCCTCCCCATCTACCTCTCCTCTTCCTCTCTCTGTGTGTGAGAGAGAATGAGAGGAGTATGTTGCATTCCTCACACATGGTGGCAATCAAACACCAAACCTTTAAAACTATTTTGGGGAATGTTCCTTGGCATTGCATATTTGTTCCAGTAGCTGTTTGATCCCTTAAGCACAAGCCTTACTGGATTGCGTTTTTTAAAAAGGTCAACCTGAAACAGAAGTCAATAACAAAGGCAGGCAAAAACACTTTAAGACTCATCACAGAATGAATGCACATAGTTTAGAACTGCAATCCTGTGTACATGCCATCCCGCTGGACTTAATTCTAAATATTAATGCATAGGATCGGGCAGTACATAAAAGTGATCAGGTCAGACCTTAGCCATAGGATTTTGTTTTTAATCTTAGCTCACCCATCTGGATCTTGCCAAGAGTACAAGATCAGTATGAGGGTGGCAGTTGAGTTTACCAGTGATCTGTTTTATTTCCTTAACAGTGCCCAGAGCTCCAGAGATAGTTCTAGCAGATTGTATTGTGGCTGACAACTCTGTAACGATTTCATGGCAAATGACAGAAGAAGACAACAAAATTGATCACTATATACTAGAATACAGGAAAACCAACTTTGATGGGCTTCCTCGAATAAAGGACGAGAGGTGCTGGGAATCTGTGGACTACATTAAGGGCACTGAATATACATTATCGGGTAATTTTATTTTTCTGTTCCCTCCAAGTTGACTTGAGTTGTAACATGAGCTTCATACTTTTTCATGAGAATCTTTTAATGTCAGCTCCATCTAATGTTTTGCGCTCCCAGCGTGATAAATGGAGATCTGATCTCATTCACTTTCCTCGACTTCAGCTAATATTGATATAGTACTTAAATTTGTCTGTAGCTTGGGAGAAGCAGCACTTTAAAACAGTATACATATACCTTTCCTCCTTTATAGTGCTATTTTTTTGTTGTTCATTTCAATGGTAGTGGATGTCTGAAGACCTTCTCTCTTTCAGGTCTGAGGTTTGATTCAAAATACATGAACTTCCGTGTCAGAGCTTGCAACAAGGCTGTGGCTGGGGATTATTCTGATCCAGTGACTTTAGAGACGAAAGGTAAAACGGGATAGCTAAGAACTAGGACCAAATAGTGGCTTGAATATAGGAAATGCATGCTCAAATGCCTTCTTGGCTATAAAATGTACAGTGTTGTTTTAGGGCAGCAGCTGTGTACCTTAACGTACCTCCAGTTGTTAGGCCCAAAAGCCGATTTAAGTGAATTGGAGGAAAGGATTGAAGCAGAGGACTATAGTATTTGCACTGTCTAAAGGGCTGCTATTTAAAATTGTTGACATGGTACCAGGAGAAACATTAACCTGAGGGCACATACGCCTTCTAAACAAATTCTAGCATAGGGAGATGGCACTGATTAGAGAAGTGCTAAGTAGTGCCACTCCCACTTGATAAACAGTGCAGATTTTTTCATCCTAAACCCCTTCACTAACTAACTCTGCTGCTATATGCAGTTGACAAAAATTTACCAATTTTAAGCCATCTGTTTAAAGCCATGCAACTGTTTAACCACTTCGATAGCAATTGTGAGGCACATGGTGGATTTGTTTGTGGCCCTGCAGCAATAAAATATTTTAGCTTTCTTGGTGTGATACTTGAGCCAAAACAGTAGTGAGATTTTGTTAGCTTTCCCGGCCTGCAAGTTAGTCAGCTGCTAGGGAGGCATTAATGGCTTTCTTGCCATCTTATGAAGTCTCAGTGCTGCAGACTGGAATATGTTGCCAAAGCAGATTCACACCGTTAGCTCACTTACTTGAGGACAGGTAAAACAACATGGCTTTTTGCTGATGTGCCTGATTCTTTCTCAGACTCTTATCCTGTTATGGCCTCATATTGGTGCATTTGATATAACAGTGAAGAGCCTGGTATCTTTACTTCCTAGCCAAGATAGAGATTGGGATCATTTTCTGTCATAAGTGTTGAAACCTTATGTTCTGTTGATTCTTAAAGTGCCTCTCACCCTGTGAGTGACACAAACACATATATCACCAGTTCACCTGAGTGGCATAATATGGCTGCATAAATATTATCAGAAGTGTTGCAAGCAGCCTCCCAGCATATTAAATCATGCTCGGGATATTTCTTCAGAAAAGTCAAGAAGCTGCAGATTGTTTGCCCACGGATCATATATTGCTCATTTATTTTAATGTTTATATTTTTTAAAAATAGCAGGACGATTCATTGAAATGCAGAAGCACTGCCAGTGTAGTCCAGTAGATGAGAAGTGTTCTTAATGATGTCATTGAGTGGCTTGCAAAGTGCACCACTAGTATAAGTGTCAGGGAACTGCCATCGGAAGGCAGGGAGGTGAAAGGACTCAGACAGGTTGGAAGAGACTCAGCAGCTGAAGAGGGAACCAGCAAGGGGAGAGAAGCTGAACTGAGGGAGGTGAAAGGGCTCAGACAGGTTGGAAGAGACTCAGCAGCTGAAGAGGAAACCAGCAGGGGAGAGAAGCTGAACTGAGGGAAAGGGAGCTGGGGGATGGCTCAGAGATACTTCCAGCGAAAACAGTGGTGAGGTTTCCGGACCTCCTGTAGGGACACCCACTCCTCGCCGGAAACTGTCACGCAGAGAGTCCAGAAGACGTGTTTCCGTTAAGGAGCTTTTATGTTGGAAGCGATCACGAAAGCAACCACTGTCGGAATCTTCTAGTGACTAGAGGAGCCATGTCAGAGGGGCTCAGTCACAGACAGAGGTTTGTGGACTTGAACAAACTCTGAGGGAATACGATTTTACGCACAAGCAGCTCATCTTCCCATCACAATAAGGTTCAGTTCTCCCAACCAGCTTTGGGATTTATTTTCAATTTATGACAACTTGTACAAACCTGGGTTGCATGTGAGTGTGCTAAAGATGTCATCAGCAGAGGGCTAATGCACAGATCAGTCAGATCAGTTTACTTATGCCATATGAAATTACCAGTTGTGTCTCTGTACTTGCACATTGGTGAAAGAAAAATTATAGAAAGCTTTTAGTGGTAAATTGCTACTGTAAGGTATAAAAAAGCATTCTGAATTTTTAAGTCAGAGGTCATCTTTGAAGCACTGGATTATAACCCTGGCAAGGCAAAAACAGAGTGCAAGGCAACAATCTCCATAACAATCTCCATATTTAAAAAGAACTTGGCTTGTTGGCAAATGAGCTTGCAGATGTATATTTGTAATGGGTTGTATCACCAAATGTTGCACTTCTAAAATTAGAACTATTGCCATACATTTTAGGGAGTTGCATTGCTCAGCTTCACATCTACTATCTTTGGGCATTAGGAAAACTTTCCATGTCTGCTATATAACAACTGGAACTATTCAAGTCTTTTCAGCGTATGCCACTCTTAGAGCTGTACCTTATTCTCATTTTGGTGATAGGTGAGCATTTCTAGTTGACCCTCAAAACTATGTGTTTACAGTGCTCTTAGTGAGCACTTGCCTGGCAGAATCATCAAGTTCAGCATTGCTTAAACATACTGTTGACCTTTCACAGAGGAATTTCAGTTCTTGTATTCTGTGAAATACTAAAGAACCGTGTCTAATGCATTCTAATTGAATAGAGTCTGTTTAGCGTGACACATATTGTTTAGCTTCCAAAAATGAAGGCAAACACAGCAACATAGCCTCAATTATTCTGCTTAGTTGGCAGTAACAAAGATTAAATTTACCCCACAACAAATTCCAGCGAGGAGCAGTGACTCAGTCTGACTGCTTTGTTGTATTAAAAACTCTCTGGAAGAGTTACTACCTACCTCATTGTCATTGTCCGAGTGTCAGTAAAAGCTAAAAAGCTTCTTGAATAAAATGTACCTATTTCTGTCATATTCTCTCCAGATATTAAGTTCTGCCCATTACACATTTGGCTTCACCCGTGAAAGATTTGATGCTAGTACTTTTTTTATAACCTGTGTGTATCTTCTAACGCTCTGCTGATCAAATTACCATGCTTGCTTACAGTGGCATCTCTTAGTTGGCTTTGAAAATAACTTGTTATATTCTGCCTTTAGTCATAAGAACTTTTGGAAACCTATTACTTGAAGAATGCTGTGGGACGTCAAGCCTGCAGGCCTCCCTTTTAGCCAAGCCATGCCCATTTGCCCAGTACCTGGTGTCTATATATGATATCAGATGTGGAGCTAAGCTGAAAGGGTTTTTGCAGGGGCTGCTGATCAGCATTGCTTTGTGAGCTGTGTCTCTACCTACTCAGTTTGATTTCAAGCCTTGCGAACAAAAGCAGGTCACCTGACATTGTGATGTCAGGTGATTGACAGATGGACCCTTGGACAGTGGGAGAGAGAACGCTCTGGTCCCCTGGCTGGACCCAGCTCCCCCGTCCCTGCTGTGCAGCTCTGCTGGCAAACTGACAGCCTTGACACTTAACACAAAGAATTGCCCTACATACTGATCCCCCCCCCCCCGATTAAAACAGAGAACTATAACAGGCTCTACCTTTCAGAACAAGATGCATACCCTGGCACTATAAATTAAGGGCCAAACTTCACAGGACATTAGTTAGCATTTTCAAAAAGCATGCTCAGACTGGTTGCTCATACTTTTGGGGGAAAAGCAGCCAAGGGTCCCCAGTCTAGAACATGCTCCAGTGCTGATTTACTGCAGAAAACAGTCCTTTTCAGGCTGTTTGCACCCAAGGTGCTGTTTGTAGTAGATATCAGGGTTTTTTTTGGGGGGGGGGTTCAGAGCAGAGTGGGAGGTAGCAATATTAATCCGTGCAGGGCCCCAATCCAGATCAAAAGCAAGCAGCAGTTAGCTCAGTTGGTTAGAGTGTAGTTCTGTTAATGTGAAGGTTATGGGTTCAATTCCCATACAGGCCACGTGCATTGCAGGGGGTTAGAACTAGATGACCCTTGGGAGTCCCTTCAGCTCTACGATTCTGTGGTTCTATGATGTGATATTCTGAATTAGGGCACTATGTCTGATTTTTCTCTAAAATAAAAGCAGGCAGATGGAGTAAGCATTTAAAAAATAATAATTAGAAGTATAGCATCAGAAGTAGACTTGTCTTAGGTAGAGAACCTGGGCAGCCTATCTAAATATGTTAACTTCTTCACTCTTTGCATTCAGAAAAGGTGTGACTAACCTTTTGATCTGCATCTTTTCTCTGGGCAGCTCTTCTATTTAACCTGGATGGGTCATCGTCTCATCTTAACTTGAAAGTTGAAGATTCCTATGTGGAGTGGGATTCTACAGGAGGCAAAAGCCAAGAAAACAAAATTAAAGGAAAAGAGAACAAAGGCAGGTAAGGGAAACTGAGCTCCTCCTCTGATCAAATCAAGTAACTTGTAGATGTCATATTTAAAGGCTGTTGCAGCAAATAGAAATTTGGTCTATCAGTAGGAAGTCTTCCTATGCAAAAGAGATTATTCATATTGCTATAAACTTAATGAATACATTCACACTAAACTTAATGTATTTGGCAGTATAGCATACTTGCTGGTAAAGTTTTGAGGCAGCTATTGAAGAGAATAACCTTGAAACCTGTGTTGGAAATGGGGGATTTCTTTTTCTGGAAAAAGTGACAGTGTTGCAAGGTAGCTCTGGTTTTGTTTTTCCCCTACCATGGATACGTTACTAAAAACTATTCCCCCTGCTGAAAAATAATACTAGCAGTCATATTCTTCTTAGGGTTAAGAATTTAGACCTTATGTGATTCAGTCGTATGACCTATGCACAGATCATGAGCTCTCTAGAAGCATCTTTTTCTGTGTAAATTAGAGAAATGAAATTTATCAAAAATTTTTTTTGCAAAAAATCATTTGATATATTTCTAGCAAGTTAGAAAGTCTGGCCTGCAAAAACAAAATATGTTTGGGAGCTTTTCTGAGATGATTGTGTTGGTCTAAATAATATCTTCTGTTGTCCAAATAGATTAGATTATTTAACTTCTACACCACTTAATATCTTAAAAACATATCTTAAGTGCTGTACAAAAAAAGGAGCAGCAACAGCCAATTAAACAAAATATTACAAAATCTCAGTTACATATGAAAAGGTTACATTAGTACAAAGTTACTAACATATATGAATCAATATCAATTCCTTTTCCTTCTGGCACATCCTGACTCTCATCCTGTGTCCCATTCAGCTGCTCTCTCCACACCCAGGTTAGTTGAGTTTCCCAGAGGGTCCTGAGGATGGGGAAAGGCTCCGTCTCCACTCACGGCTCTTTCTTCACCCTCTGTCCACTCCTCCTCCAAGGTGGATTTAAATGTTGGGGGTTTGTTGGCATACCGTAAGCTTCCACAATTGCCACATACCAAAATACAGTGGTACCTTGGTTTCTCGAACTTAATCTGTTCCGGGAGTCCGTTTGACTCCCATAACAATTCGAAAACCAAGGCATGGCTTCCGATTGGCTGCAGGAGCTTCCTGCACTCAAGCGGAAGCCACATCGGATGTTCGGCTTCTGGAAAATGTTCACAAACCGGTGTTCGGGAGCTGATTTGTTCGACAACTAAGCTGTTGCATAAGTGTATTGCATAAGTGACAGGGATGTGCTCTCCTACACTATAGGAATAGTATTGTCTGGGAGCAGGTAGATGTATTCTTGTCAAGTGAGCTATTGCCGACTCCAAATACCCAGACCACTTTTTTACTTCCCAGGAAGTATTTTCCGTAAGAGGGAGGAGGAGACTCCAGGCCTGGGAAACTTTATACAGTGGTACCTCGGGTTAAGTACTTAATTCATTCCGGAGGTCCGTTCTTAACCTGAAACTGTTCTTAACCCGAAGCATCACTTTAGCTAATGGGGCCTCCTGCTGCCGCCGCACCACCAGAGCACGATTTCTGTTCTCATCCTGAAGCAAAGTTCTTAACCTGAGGTACTATTTCTGGGTTAGCGGAGTCTGTAACCTGAAGTGTCTGTAACCCGAGGTACCACTGTACATCCGTAGTCTCAGTAATAGGAACGTATTTCATGTCACCCCCATCCCAGCTGTGAACAGGGAGCTGGTAACACATTAAGTTCAAGAGGTAAAAAGGCTATAAAACTCAAACAGGGTTTAATAGATTCCAAACCTATTTTATGCAGACTTCTTAAACCATTTCGGTTACATTTCAATTTGTAAGCAAGTGGGTGTTTTCTGTTTGTAAGTCTGTGAACAGCATACAGTTATTAATAGTTATCAGAACAGTTTTGTAGTGGTTTTAAATACTAATTTTTTTTTATAAAAAAAATAAGTCTGTGTGTAGCCACGAAGTAGCCTTTTTAATTACCTATTTTTGTCTGACAGTTGCCAGATTACCCTTCTGAAGAACAATACAAGGTGACAGTGTGCCTCTTCATAGCCATAGGGTTCAGCTTTTTACTCTCCAATATTTTCCTTTCAATTCTTGCTCTCTAGAGTTAGCATGAATCAATCCAGCAGCCTTTACCAGTAGACAAGCCACTGTTTGTTGTTTAGATCCTTCTTTCCCCCACTTATTTGTCATCTTTTGTATTTACCGTTCAAACTGCCTTTCTGTAAAATCACCAAGCCTGTATATAAGTTTTGACAATTTACAGAAATGAGAACCGCTAACACTAAACATAGGCAGCGCAAAATGCACCAGTTGCCAGCAAGCTAATGCCTCTGGTATTTTATGGTACTCACTGGGCTGTGTCCCCAGTTGTAATGGGACCATAGGCCTATTATTTCACTTTGTAGTAATAAATGGGGATATTTGATTCTTCCAGTACTAAACAAACTTAACTGCATCCTTTAAATACAGAAATCCTTCACAATCTTTAAAGGCAGATTCTGGTTTTTTTCTCTCAGTCTTACGTTCTCTGCATTAAGTAATTTTATTTCAAGAAGGAGCGTTGAGTTTTTGCACTTATTGGTCCTGGCCTCTGCAAGCAGTAGCCAATCAAGTGAGGAGGATCATTTTGCAGCATGATGCTTTGTTTTTGTAGCATTACTGGAGAAGGGGACAAGGCTATTTGGTCTCAGTGTATCACCTGCAGTATAGATTTCAGCCCTTGTGTATTCTTCCCTCTGGAGATGCAGGTACTTGAGTTAGGCATACAGAATTGGAAGTTAGACTGGGTTTCCGGGCCAAACAAGTATTTTGGCATTTTGCAATTACAATGTGTGTTTTTCTTTTGAGAATGCACGTTGTCCAAAGAACTTGCTATTCTTTGATGTTACATGAACAGATAAAACACCATAGAAATTGCATTAGTTAGTTCCACAGTGGCTTATCAAAACAAAACCAGCATGCATGTTGGCATTGCAACAGTACAATTAAACGCAGAGAATTCGGCTTGTATTGAATCATGTCTTCAAATGTACCAAATATAAAATATTTTAAATTCAATTGTGTACCTGTAAAGGCTGCTAATATTAAGGACATCTTCTGGGTGAAGGGAACTTGGAGCACTTACCTGAAAAATAGCATGTCAGCATTTTGGTAGATCTGGTGGAAGTGGGAAGTTATTCTGAGTTTGTGCCTTCCTTGTATCAATTGCAGCATCTCTTGAACAAACATGCTATTTTTCTACATAACCTGGCAGCAAACCTAACGTGTTGCTTTTATGATAGAAAGCAGAAAGTAGTAGGTTACCTAGTAACAATGTACTTGGAGTAGGGTCAAACACTGTGGTGTGTCCCCTTCCTCCCCTCCCCCCCCAAAATATATGCTTTTAATTTCTTGGCTTTGCTGTCTTTTCATGCTTTCACTTTTTTCTTTTTTTCTTTTGGTAAGTAACTTTCCTTTAATACGTTTCGTTTGTTCAAAGGCCTTTTCAGTGTTGCGTTTAAATGTCTTAAGAATTCACAATAGAACTTCATTCTGAAAACAGTAAATGCTATATCTGCTATATTCATGCCACTTCAACATTCATGCCACCAGAGGTGTGGGGAAGATGGCTAATGTATTGGGACTGGGTTTCTATCTTACTTTAAAATAACTCATTTCTAATCAGATCAATGGGACACTTTCCCCCCCAGAATTACACTTCAAGTTCACTCATTCCTATCCTGCACATATCCCTCCTAGTCTTCAGTAATAGTAACTTTTCTGTTGTCTTAGCATGTTTTTTTTTCTTCTACTGGTAGCCTCTTCTGTGCATGGCTATTTGTATAGATATAGAGACTTTCAGCATGACTACCAGAACAGACCCCTCTAACAGCATGTGAGCCATCTGTGACCATAAATGCTTCTGTGAAACAGTCTAAAACTGGATTTAAAAAATACTAACTTGGTGCCTTTGCTTGTATGCTGTTGTAGTCATGGTTGCATACTGCAGTACAGAACAAACTCATTTCTTGTCACCTTACAGAAGTGGAACTCCTTCCCCAAAGCGATCATCTGTTAGCTCACGTTCACCTTTGATAAGGGGCAGCAGAGATAGATTTACTGGGGAATCGTACACAGTGTTGGGTAAGGTTTTTAAAGAAATAATACTTATTTATTATTATTATTATTATTATTATTATTATTATTATTATTAAATTAGTTTTTATTAATTTTTTGTGATACAAAAAAAAACACACACAAGGAAAAGTAGATATAGCACCTCCACTTTCAATTCATAAAATCTTTTTCAGTTTGTTTACATTTGGTGTAAGACACTATTTCCATAGACATTGGGAGAAAAGAGGAAGAGGGTTGAGGAGGATAATGGTCTTTTCATTCTATTGTATAGTGCAGAGTTTTTGTGGCAGCATCTCATGGGTAGGTCCTTTATTTATATAATTATTTGGGGGGTTTTATTGTCATGTTGAGAGATGGGAGGGCCCAAAGTTTGCTTGCTTGCGTTTGGTTGGTTGCAGTATGGTTTGTTTGGAGGGGGGCAGGATTGTTGTGTCCAGATTAGCCATATTAATTTGTATGCGGGGGGGGGTAGGTCATTGTCTTGTTGTGCTGTATATGTGGTAAAGGGAAGCCACACCGGGGTGAAGGTGTCCTCTTTTGCTTGTCCCCATGCTAGTTAATTTTTCTGGTAGGGCAGTTTCCCATACTTTTTGGTACCAGTGGTCTATGTTCACTCCTGATAGGTCCTTCCAGGGTCTGGTTATGATATTTCTAGCTGCTGAGAGTAAGTGACTTATGAGTTCCTTGTCTTGTGCATTGTGGGAAAGGTTTTTTTTCGGGGGGGAGGGAGGATAAGCTTTCTTAGTTTTTATCATTATGATCTGCACTGGAGTGGGAAACCTTTGGTCCTCTCCCCATGTTGTTGCCAACTCTTATCAAGCACAGCTGGGGATATTGGGAGTTGTAGTTCTGCAACATCTGGAGAGCCAGAGGTTCCCTATGCCCGATTTCTACAACACCAAAAAGATTGGGGATTTTCACTGTCTAATGAAATCTATACTCAATCAATTATGGGTATTATCATTGAACAATTTGTGTTTACTCTTGAGCTCTAGGCAGCACAAGTTTGCTTGGAAGTGTTCATTGTTCCTTCTCTGTTTCATTACAGGAGATACTACTATTGAGAATGGGCAACACTACTGGGAAGTGAAAGCCCAGAAGGATTGCAAATCCTATAGTGTGGGAGTAGCATATAAAAATTTGGGGAAATTTGACCAGCTAGGGAAGACTAATACAAGCTGGTGCGTGCATGTGAACAACTGGCTCCAGACTACATTTGCAGCCAAACACAACAACAAAGCAAAATCGCTAGATGTCCTGGTTCCAGACAGGATAGGAGTCTATTGCGACTTTGATGGAGGTAACTTGGGAGTCCTCAGAACTATCCATGAGAGAGCTGAAATAGTGTTACTCCTTTACCTTCTGAGAACGTGTATTAAGGAAAAGACAAATGTTACACATAAGCTGAACTCTTTCAGAAGTATTAACATGCTTTTCTCTCTTCAGGTCAGCTCTCTTTCTATAACGCAAGCTCAAAGCAGTTGTTGTACACCTTCAAAACAAAATTCACCCAGCCGCTACTACCAGGTTTCATGGTCAGTACCTATCTAATTTAACTCATTCCATCATTTCTGCTTCAAGGGCTATTTTTCTACAGTTACTTTTAGGAATAATTTCATAATGTGGAAAAGACTCGCATCGAATGCCACAGATGCTTTTGGGTTATTGATGCGTCACTGTCTGACCTCTAAACATGTTTATATGCTTATTAAACTTGGTTGCTCAAGGAAAAACTGGCAGCCACTTTGATGACTAGCTCCAGGGCTCTGTATATGCCCGAAGAAGAGAAACCTCTAATGGGGAAATGCAGGAGTGGCTAACCTGTGACCCTTCAAATGTTCCTGGACTGTAATTCCCATTATCCCTGACCTTTGCCTGTGCTGTCTGGGGCTGATGGGAGTTGGAGTCCAGCAGTATTTGGAGGAGGACAAAGATGTACAGATCCCTGAAAATCTCTAGCTTACACTTTTTAAAAAAGCAATGTATTATAATTCTAGCCCTCGTAACTGCAAAACAATGTGCATAACTTATACAAAATTGCCTGGGAGCAGAATTTTGTTTTTGTTCTGAATATACATCACAGACCTTCTCCTGTTTAGATGAGCCTACCAAGATACTTAGAAAGTTGAAGTAATTTTATCTGTTTTAGTATTTTAACATTTGTATGTTTTTAAAGTAGGGTTGTGAATTTTTCTCCCTTAAAACAAACTTGAATGGGAGCTGGAGTGTAATATAGAACACTGTAGAAACTAGACTTCCCACCCCACCCCACCTTGTGTTAGAAACGTAAGAAAATGCCAAACTGTCAGCCTCCTCTCAATATAGATAGCGAGAATTTCCTCACCTGAGTTTTATTTTTATATTTACAGTAAATTTTTAAAGTAGAAAAGGTGACACTGTTTAAGCAGTTCAGAGCAACTGTTTCAAAATATAACTATGGCTAAACTGGATTTGAGCCTCTTAATTTTTCAAAAAGTGACAACACTGTTAGTCATTGACATTCTCACTGTTCCCCTGGTCAGCTTTTTGGTAAAAAAGGGCCAGTTATAGAGAAGATAGGGGTTTCAACATACTTGAGGGACAGACAGAAAAATGCTGTGATGTACAGTGATTGCCATGATTTTAATTGACTCTGAGCAAGAAGAGAGCACTGATGACCCCTCATCTTTTATATATCGGTTTTCTAGGTTTGGTGTGGTGGTCTCACCTTGACAACAGGACTGCAGGTGCCAAGTGCCGTGAAAACACTGCAGAAGAGCGAAAATGGATTAAGCGGTTCAGCCAGCAGCCTAACCAATGTTGCCCAATGATATTTTCACTTCATGTTAACTGCTTTTTCTTTGCAGGTGTTACTCAAAGAGCTTTTGAGCAATGCTTTAATGTGTTCCTGCTACTTCTGAGGCCTAAGCACCACTAGTGGGGCTGAACCAAAACGTTAGCAGGAGTGTACTGTGAATCTGCAGTGTAATAGGAAAATAGACTGATCTTTTTTAAAAAAGAGAATTGGGTATTTGAGGTTGTAGCTATCTACTACTGTTAGACTAAGTTTGACTACTTGTCTTACGGATTCTTGACAGATAACTCAGATAACTTCAGTATAACACGCAACAAAGGCAAGTATGATCTTGGTCTAAAAGGCCTTCCTTGCTTTTCTTCTCTCTAGGTTTCTAACACTCACTCCTTGACCCCGGAAAAGGAGATGAGCTGGAGGGTAATACGCAGAAGCTTTAAAAATGAGAGCCATCTAAAAAAGCCAGTCTAACTTTCCATAACTCAGTGTAATGAAAAGGTGGTGGTGTGTGGTACAAATACTTAGGTCTTGATCACTGTCCTTTGATTCAAGGTAGTTTTTACGCAGTTGGGCACCATGAATAACATTGCCGAGAACTACACAGTCATCTCAAGTAGTGTATTTTAAACTGGTATTTGGACAGTGTCCATTAACCATGAAAAATGCTTTGAGGAATGGAAGAGATTGTAGTATTTCTGACCAGTCAGCTTAAGGAGCTTTTCGAAGTGCTTCCATTTTCCTCTGTTAAATCACCTGAGCTCAGTAATGAGGCAGTTTAAGTCCCATTTTTTGTATTGTCAGCCAGTTTCAGTGTGTACTTCACATGGTACACTTTTTTGAGGTTAAGTGTATGCTCAGAATTAAGTCATGTTTTGCCAGTCATTCTTATCTGTAAGCTAATGGCTTGTTGCCACATCTTTAGTTTCTAGGCTGTGCCCTGAAAACTGCTCCAGAGGCTCAAAATAATATACTGTACCTAGTCAACTGCTAGATGCATCAGACACCTTAGTTTTGTAACATGGTTAAGGTCCGGAATGATGTTATCTTCAAACCTCTAAAGCACTTTTCCTGTAGATTTTGAAAGTGGATTGTACATTCCAGTTTTAAAGGCTCCATAAGTTCTGAGTTTCCTCCATGATGTCGGAAGCATATATTAAGAATGTAGATGGCATGTTCAGATTTTATGGTAACTTCCAACCTTTGAACATTTTGAGTGTGGTTCCCTATTAATTTCTCCATCATAGAACCTGATACTAGGGTTTTGGGGTGTTGGTTTTTTTTACATTCTGTGATCTACTGTCTCTTGAGAAATTTCACAGAATAGTAAGAAGCAAACTTTTTAATAAAGTGCATCTGAGCATTTTTCACTTGTGAGAAATGAATACCTGCAGTTGTCTCTGAAGTGTTAAGAATTGAGTTTGAATGTTCAACTTTCCCAACTGAACCATGTAAATTGCTTCCTCAGAATCCCTGAATGGCTACGTTAATCCAATCTGTTTACTCAATTGTCCCTCTTGCAAAAGAGTAGCAAATCACAGTAAAACGTCTCATGTTCTAAGAACTCCTTAAATACCATGTTCTACCCAGTCTTATCATGTTTTCTAACTATCAAGGAACCCAGTATTTATCCCATTGTAATGATGTGTTTGTTCTGTAAGACCCTTCATGTAGTTCTGCTTCGTATACCTTTGTATTTGCAGCACTTAAGTTCACATTTTTATTATTTGCATATTTGATTTGTGAAATAAAGATGTTTTGATAACTGGCTTGTTATGCCCAATGCAGATAACATGCCAACTACTTCTAGGAAGAAAATATAATGTGGTAAATACCTTTATGATGCTTTGACCAGTATAAATGGGCTTCTAACTAGTCAGAATCAAGCTGCTATACTCTCGGAATTACATATTTTGGAGCAAGGCCTTTGTTCTATGTACAGTTAATAGAGGCACTTAACTGTCTTTAAATGGTTGCATCTGCTGACTGTCAAGTGTGATCCAGACTCTGAATCGACTGAATACTTCACAGTTGCAAGTTCTACTGAATTATGCAGGCATCTCTGTGAATTTTCCACAACTCAGTGGATCTGCAATATTTATTCCAGATGCAGTACTAGTGTTTAGAGGTTTGACATGTATTGGGAAACATACATTTGGAGTGGTGGGTTATCCTTATCGGAGGAACATTACTGCTAGTGGAACAATCTGAGCCATAGGTGCTTCTGTTGGCTGCCCAGCTGGGTAGTTCCATATCAGTTTAAGGAATTAGAGTATGGTGACACGAGGAAATGCCTTAAGCACTTTAGATATTGTTTATGAAACTTGAACTAACAACATTGATAGGTTTGCATTCTGTGGCAAGCATGCAGAAATTGGTGCAATTGAGCAAAGCAAATTACTCAGTTTGATGGTTTTGAGCAAAACAATTATTTGATTGTGTTTACTCTTCAGGTAGATATGCTAGATTGGTTACAAACAAGGCATAGTGTGTATATAATTTGTCTGCTTACTCATTGTAAAATTTGAAGTATTTTTGTATTTGTAGCTAATGAAAGGTGGTTCTTTTTGTATATTTACAGCAAGAAGAAAATGTGTATTGTTAATTTAGTTTACAGAAATTATGGAATTGTCTACTGTGACATAATCATGTAACACAACTTGACTCCCTTTTGTATAATAAAGTAGCAAATGTAATTCACAATTGGGTTTAAATCCAAAACTATGTGAATCTGCTTAGAGGTTTTTGAAGAGCAGCTGAAAGCCCAAGTCACAAAACCGTATTATGAATGGTATTTTAAGGGTGTAAGAGTGGAATGGTTATACAGTGACTATACAATACAGTCTTAATTTAGTTTAAGTTTGAGGGCTATGTAATGAACATAATGCATTCTCCTTTTATTAAAGGAAGCAGAAATACTCCTATAAGGCTGTTTGTTCTCTCCCTTGTCTCTTAGGACAGGATTCCTTTCTGTGATGTAGGAAACAGTTTTGAGGCAAACTAATTCGGCAAATGTTGTCATTTTAATTATGCAAGTGAGAACTTTGTGTGGTATATCAACTGACTTTGTTACTATGCAGTTGGCAGACTTGGTTGACTCTATATTTTCTGGTCGTGACTTTTGTCCTTGGAATTAAACTGAAGTGTTCTGGAAGCCTACTGACTTGAAAGGGAAACTTTAGCCGTGTTTTCCTCCCTTAGTACTGTACAAATGAGCGGCTTCTCTCTGCAAGTGGGCTGCTCGTTTTCACCACCGGTAAAACACTTCTGCATGTGCCTTTTCAAAATGGCTCTTATCATTACTCTCCTAGTGTAAGGTATTGAGATAAGAAAGCATATTGATATTCTGCTGTCACACTGAACTTCCAAAATGGGGAAATTGTGCACTGACCTCAGGTACCCAGTGCTTTGCTCTTCATCCTTGTCAAGTACCCTCAGACAACAACCCCTACCTACCACAACACTGTACAACTGGGGTGCCTTAGAGCCCATGGAGTGTTTTAATTTGCTGTGTCTTTAAGTCAAACACATCTTGCAGGGGTTTTGTATTAATAAACTTTTGAAAACTCGTATACATCTTTTGTCGTGCTTTTTCTGAGGATAGTATGCTATAGAGAAGTGGCTTTCTTTGGGTATGGAAGATCTTTGCCTGAACATTGCTGGGGAAACAAGGGCCTCTGGAGGTTCTTGCCTTGGGAGGGGAGAAGCTCCAGTAACAGCTTTTCCTAAACAAACAAGTCGTCCTCATATATTTATATCTGTATGTATTAGAAGTTACAATAAAATATGTTTATGTAAACTGCTTTGGGAGGTCTGCCTGAAAAACAATATAAATGCTGTAACTCTTGGGCGGTTTTAGCAGATGTATAAAGCAAACTTAGATAACAGGGAGGCTAGTAATATTTAGTCAAATTATTCCTTCACCTTTTAATTCTTTCACTAGAGAGGGCAACTATCTGAAAATAGAGTGACACTTGCTGTCTTTAATGTATGTGAGTTATTGACCTGGCACTTAATATATATAGTGCTATTGGTAGTAACATAGGTAACAGTGAAGGGGAAACAACCGAAACATTGTTGGGCTAATAGTAATTGCCAATGAGGCTGCTGTGTTCATATTCAATCTTTTCAGACATAGGGCTTAACTGTTTTAAAGATATGTATTGGGGAACCATATATTTGTATGGTGGTAGTGCTGGATCAGCCTTCCAGTAGCTCTCAGATGAGAAAAATCAATTTAGTTCCAAGCCGGTGGTGGTGGTGGTGGTGGTGGTGGTTGTTGTTTTACCACACTTATGGCACAGCTTGTTAATAATGAAGTGTAGATTAGACACTTCCATTTTTTAGCCTAGGATGAAGCTGTCCTGCTTGACCTGAATTTAGAACAGCTGCTAGGATTGCATGGTGGTGTGGGTTTTGTTTTTGCAAATAGTTGTTACAAATAGCATTTCCAGTCCTTGTGCTGCAACCTCACCTGATAAATTTAAACTCTGCCTATTGAAATAAAGCAGGCCCCTTTGCTGTGCTCCTTTTGAAGGCTGCGGAAATTTTTTGTCCAGATAAGCCTACCTTAGAAACTTTTAAGTAATTTTAATCTGTTTCAGTATTTTATCTCTTGCAATGCTTTTAAAGTAGGGCTGTGGTGGTGTCTCCCCCCCCCATGTTTTTTCATCTTTTAGTAAACCACTTTGAGGTGAGTTTGTTTTTAAGTCAAGCGGTATAAAAATCGTATGAAATGACAAAATAATGACTCAGAAGGTGGTGAAAAAAACCTTGATTTTTTTGTTTTGTTTTGTTTTTAAGCAGAGGTTGGATGGCCACCTGCCAGGGATGCTTTTTAGTCGATTCCTGCATTGCAGGGGGTTGGACTAGAACTTCCGGGTCCCTTCCAACTGGACCAGCTCATACCATTCTAGGGCCAGAATGAATGAATGAACTGAGGTGTAGCTGCCTCAGTGTGTGTTTCCCCATTTTCAAACTGGTGCCTTCCACCGTGTTAAAGGAGCTGCAGGACACCGCACAGCACGTGCAAAAATAAAACACACATGCCTCCTGAGTGCAAGTTTGCAGGGTGGGTGTCCCCCCTCTTAACTTTACCATTATTATTATTATTAAACTATATTAGCAATTTGTTTTTAGTGTATCCATTTGTCGAACACCTATGAAAAGTAACCAAAAGGTCGGCCTGATGTCGGCCACCATCTACGTCGAGAGGCAACGCAGTGCACCTCCAGGGGGGGAAGTCAAACCGAAGGGACCTTCCCTCCCCTTATGCTCCCAGCAGCCTCAGACACGTTGGGAGCTACGGCTTGTTGGGAACAGCTGGGGACGCAGCATCTTCCACGCACGCGCACACCGGGCGCCAGCTTTAATTTCCCCCCCCCCAAAGGGGGTCGGAGCCTCAAGTGAAGCGACGCAACACCTCCGGCTCCCCACCGAACAGTGCGGGGCACAACCCCACCCCCGCTTTCCGTCCCTCCTTGCAAACAGAGAGGCCCTTCAAACGGGAACCGGAAATGAGGTTTCAAGGGGGAAAAGGCAACCTGCGCGCCTTCGTAAACGGACTCTTCCCTCCCTCCCGTCTTAACTCTATGTTCTCCTCGCGCCTCCCTTAGGCGGCCGGTGCCGTAAAGGGCGGGCTTCGCTTTACGGCAGAAGCCCGTCGCTCGGCTCCTACCTGCCTGGCGCGCCGTCAGGTAAGAGGGACGCGGAGGAAGGCAGTTCCTATGAGGCGTGTTGTTGTTTTTTAGTGGGGCGGCTTTCTTGCTGGGTTCGCCTTAGGCTCCTCTTCTAACGCTGCCCCAGGGACAAGGTTGCGGGGGGGACGACGACAAGATTCAATAAAGCAGCTGCTAAATAAAGTTAAACGGGGAGGTTTGCGAGGGACCCGTGAGGGTCATCTAGCCCAACCCCGCCGCCCCCCCAGGCAGCGTTCGAAATTCGCCAGGCGCATTTTGCCGCCTTGGAGGCGCCTGCCTGCTTTGGGATCCTTGGATCTTGCCAGTTTCCACACACTAACAACACATCCTGTCGAATTCTATCCACAATATTTTTATCCGCGCAATTGGAAACCCAAAAAAGTTGTATTGGAAATATCCGGCTCCAAAATGGCAACTAGGCATTGTGTTTTGGCCACTGTACCCCTGGTTTAAGGAGCCATTTGGCTTATTATTAATAATAATAATTTATTATTTATACCCCGCCCATCTGACTGGGTTTCTGCAGCCATTCTAGGCGGCTTCCAACAGAATATTAAAAACATGATAAAACATTAAAAACTTCCCTGAACAGGGCTGCCTTCAGATGTCTTCTTAAAGTTGTGCAGTTGTTTATCCCCTTGTTTTTTTTAATCTCGTATTCTTATGTTGTGACATCTGCAGATGAAAGGCGGTATTCAAATGTAATAAAATAAAATAATAATTTTATAATTCATACCCCACCCATCTGGCTGGGTTTCCCCAGCCGCTCTGGGCAGAGTAGCACATATAGAAACATAGTAAAACGTCAAACATAAAAAACTTCCTGATGCAGGGCTTTCCTTCAGATGTCTTCTAAAAGTTGTGTAGTTCTTTATCTCCTTGACATCTGATGGGAGGGCGTGTGTATGTGAGAAGCTGCTGGGAACTGTAGCTCTGTGAGGGGAAAACAACAGTTCCTAGGATTCTTTGGAGGCAGGGAGAGAGATGTGCATTGAATGTGCTTTAAGCACCGGATGTGGGAGCCCATGACAAGCCCCAAAAGAACAAACTTGGTTTATGGTTGCTTTGTACCTTTGATAGTGTGTTGCAGGTAGGAATTACTCAGTGTGACCCTACCACCAGCAAAACCCCATTGATTTTTAGCAGAGACAGTAATAATTTAAAAGGGAGTGATTAAAAGTAGACATGTTACTGGGATTTGGTGGAGAGGTTTATCCCTCTCTGCTCTTCCCATCACCCTGATGAGGATGCAAATTCTCTGTCCCTGTCATCAGATTGATCACTGAATGAGTCAAGAGGGGAATATAACTCCCTGATTAGTGCAGTTCCCTGGAGGGATGCTGTCTTCAGGCACCTGAAAAAGGTTAGCTCCTCCTTTTTCAAACACTTTTGGGAGAAAGGGGGGGGGGTGAATCTGAGAACCTAGCTGTGTTATGCTACTAACCAACAGGGATTCACACAAGCACTTTGCTGTTTCTCATTGTTAAGAGACTTAAAAGTAATTCGAACAAGCATTAATGTGCTTTGCACAAAACAATGATTCTCGTTTATATAAAACTGTTACAAACACTTCATTGAATTCAAGTTCCCCCCTCCCCTTTTCCCCAGCTTTATTTTCCACTGGAGAGACCTTGGTAGGCTACTTGAAAAGATGAGAAGAACAAAGCTCCTGCTTTCAACTGATAGTCAAGAGAGCCCTGAAGACTAATGCAGAGAATTAACAAGAACGTGGTTTTGGGCCTTCTTACTTTGACAAGCTCAGTCTTTCTCCTGTTCCAGCTGTACTATTATAAATACTATTTATCACCAAGGGTAAGAACTCTGGCAGCTCACTTAAAAACAACAACACCACACAGCTACATTCAGCAGAACGAATCCAAACAAGTGTTTATAGTGATTTGTTAAAATAAGATGGGAGACACGAGATTGAGACTTGCTTGGTATTGAGTATTCTTGCTTGGTAGTAAATTCCAATGAAATCAATATGGCTTAAACATGGTTAAAATTAGATTTCATATATTCCAGGTTACGGTCTGGCCATTTTCTGGTCAAGTGGAGTGGAGCTTTCTAGCTCCATTGCTATCTTTATAGTTTGATTCCAGTGTAGTATGTCAGAAGGTTAGTCAACAGAGGAAGTGTGTACTCTTCCAGCTGAAAATAGATTAGTTCAAATATTTTTTTAAAATGCAATATTTTTGAAAAATATCACCAAAGCTTCACTTCTCATTTGTCTTGGTGGTAGCACTAGGACTTGACTTGCAAAGCCTCTTCTCTGTTGTTTGGTTTTGTTAGAATGGAGCTGTTTTCCCCAAGATTAAAGGGAACAAAGCAGGACAAGACGGTAGTCGGTGGGTAAGTACTTTTGCACTGAAAGTATTTTTATTATTTTGTTATTATTATTTATTGAATTTATATACCGCCCCACACCCGGTGCTCTCAGGGCGGGTCACAAAAAAGGTGACAATATATGAAATAAAAATAAAAACAATAACCCAATAACGCCCCCCTAAAAGAGCCACATTTTAAAGGGTATAGGATGTTGATTAGGTCAGCTAAAGGCCTGGTTAAAATGGAATGTTTTTGCCTGCCGCCTAAAGGTGTATAATGAAGGCACCAGGCAAACTTCCCTGGGGAGAGCATTCCACAGCCACTGCAGAGAAGGCCTGTTCTCATGTTGCCACCCTCTGGACCTCTCGAGGAGGAGGCGGCACATGAAAGAGGTATTGCAGTCCTGAGCCGTTTAAGGCTCTATAGGTCAAAACCAGCACTTTGAATTGGGCACAGAAACTAATCGGTAGCCAGTGCAGTCAGACCAGGATCGGTGTAATATGCCCAAACCATCTTGCTTCAGTGAGCAGCGTGGCCGCTGAATTCTCCACTAGCTGAAGTTTCTGAACCGTCTTCAGAGGCAGCCCTGAGTATAAGATGCATAAGATCTCTTTTGCTGCTTTGATCAGTATTATACCCGTTATTGTTACTTTATTGACTTAGGGGTCTTCAAAAGCTTTTTAAAGATGTTTTTTTCCCTTTCCTGTCTCTTTACACAGCATGTTGTTAAGAAATTCATTAGTTTGATGTCCAGTCAAAACATACCTGTGCATCTGATTGATCCATTGCTTCTGGGACTAATTGACACAGACTTGAAGCAGCTCAGGACCTCTCCTGATAGCAGCCACTCAGAATGCAGATACCTCTGTGCTCGACGGGACTTTACCACCTTTGCCGTCCTGGACAAAACCTGGAAACTTGAGGTAAATTTGTCTCATCTTTATTTACCTATCTATGCTAAACTTTGCAACTTTTAGATCAAGTAAGCATAGAGACAAAATATCAAAACATTTATGGTGCATTTCTCAGGAATTTTTGAGAAAGGGGGAGTCACAGGGTGAGTGACTTGACCACAAGGCAAATGTTGCTTAGAAGGTACCTCACAACAGCAACAGATCTCTTGGAGTGTGTCTCTCTGTGGTTTGTATTTGAAGGTTTTTTTGTTTGTTTGTTTTGGCCTTCATATCTAAACAGATACTATTGTTACTCAGGAGGAAAACTGCAGAAAAGCACAAAAGAGGTTTTAATACACTTCTTACACTTAAAGAAGTGTATGAAAATAAATGCTAAGTGGTATTCAGAGAACTGTGTGAAGCCAAATAAGTTGGTTAAGTGTATTTATTAGAACTCCCCTTCATGGATCACTGCCTTGCAGTGGCGAAGGGGCTTGAATAACTCAGAGAAGCTATGAACTAACTAAAAAGGAGATTGTAAGAATAATTGCATTCCCACAAAGAGGGGGTTCTGTTTCATTTTGAAACAGAAGAGCAAGTGCTTTGCAAAGCAGGACTGTGTGTGTGTGTTTAATGTACTGAGCCAAAATGCAGCGTGTCAATTTCAGGTGGGCCTGTTTCGAGCTGCTGAGAGAGTGGGTTTCCAGTGGCTAAAGCTGCAGAGCAAAGACCCACGTCTAGAAGGGATGGACGACCTCTCTGGGATGGAGATTCCCTTACACTACATTTTCAGACTGGCAGCGCATGCCATCCATCTGGTGGTCTTTTATGAGAGGAGCGGGAACTACCTCTGGCATGGACAGCTGCGGCTGAAGCGACACATGGACCGGAAGTTTGTACCTTTTCGGAAGTTGCCGTTTGGCCGCTACCCGGGAGCCTACGACAAGTAAGAAATGGCAAGGCAGTGTATTCTGTTTCTATTTGATGCACGAGTTTTTCATAGAAAGCACACAGCTGTCCGGCTTGCCTTGTATCCTTGCTGAACAACAAATGAAATAATATGTGCAGGGTTTCTGAAGTCAATGAGATTACAGCAATGGAGAAAAGTTTTACATTCATGATCCGACAATATTCTTCTCCCACCCTGATGCATGACACTAGAACAGGGAATCGTGCAGTGATGATGTTTGGCTATAAAATCAGGACAGGACAAATAAATGCATTTTAAACTTGGGAAATCCTTTACCACCAGGATGTGGTTGCCACTGGGCTGTGAGGCTTCAAAATGGGGCTAAACAGAAGAAATAGCTGGGAAATAAACAGCTTGTTGCTCATCATGTTGCAACACATCCTTAAATGCAAGTAGCTGAAAATAAGTATGGTTCCCCAAGGGGAAAAGGCACTCGGATAAATCTTTCATTAGGCAAGTAATGTACCTCTGCCCTTGTATCCGATGGGTTGTTTCTAGTACAGCAGACCCTCTGGATACAAACTTAATTCATTCCTGGGGTCCTTATGTACCCTGAAAAGTCCGCATCTAGAGACACTGCTTCTGTGCACGTGTGCGGCGCGATAGAACGCTTCTGCGCTCTTCCGAGTTTGCTGTGTTCGCAACCCGAAACTTACGTAACCCAAGGGTCCACTGTATGGCAGAGCCCCTGATCCATTTGGCTAAAGGGATTCACCTGGATGAGAGCATGGTGCTGTTTTACTTTTTCCATTCCGCCTTCCCATCGTAGGCATTTGTTTGTTGTTGGTGCAGATGGGCTGAACAGCTTCAGAACACCTCGTTTGGTCCAAATGGAATGAGTTATTTTGGAGTAGTTGGGTGAAAATAGATAATTTGCAGCCTTTGCATATGAAGCGACTGCAGCTGCTCCTGTGTTTCATTTTGTTTCACCTTCCGGACATGAAAGTTGCTCTTGTTTTCTGGCCAGGTTAATGTAACTCTTTCCTCCTTTGTAACAGGCTAGAACTAATAAGTGTTTCCATTGATGGGTTGACAGTCCAGATTCCAAAAGAGCCATCTCAGTTCCTAGAGGAAAGGTCCCACTCCAGGTTTATTGAATGTAGGTACAGAGAAGCTCGATCTTTCTTCCAGGTTAGTGGTTATCAAGTAGCATTTCACTCAAAATGTGAAATATTTTCCAGTGTTGCTTGCCTGGTTTCCCCTACCACCCCAGAGTTAAAATGGTTGTTGTTGTCATCAGAGTTAACATGCTTAAATGGGAATGCTAGTATATCTAGATCAGGGTTTCCCAAACTTGGCTGGCTGGCTGTTTTTTGGGGGGTTTTGGGGGCTACAGTTCCAGTCATCCCTGATCATTGGGCCTGCTAGTTAGGGATGATGGAAGTTGTAGTCCAAAAACAAAAACAAAAAACACAGATGGAGGACCCAAGTTTCGGAAACACTGATCTAGACTGTGTGGGTGGATGCCTTTGTTCCCATACTGTAGAATCATATGAAAATATCTTACTGCAGACTTGCACACCCTATGACCCACCAAGCCCAATGCTGCCTATGAACCACCTGCAGTGGCCTACTAAACGGCTTGCCTCTGATTGTGAAAATAAGAGGAGAGAGTTGTAGTCAAGCAGACAGTGAGCTGTTTCAGTGCATGGCTGGATTGTGATTTGTGCAATCCTGATTTAACTCCTCCTGCCTTGCTGATTTATATATGCTATACGGATCCTGCAGATATAAGACATGAGTGGCGCTGTGGTCTAAACCACTGAGCCTCTTGGGCTTGCTGATCAGAAGGTTGGTGGTTCGAATCCCCATGATGGGGTGAGGTCCTGTTGCTCTGTCCCATGTCTTGCCAACCTAGCAGTTTGAAAGCACGCCAGTGCAAGTAGATAAATAGGTACTGCTGCGACGGGAAGGTAAACGGCACTTCCGGGTGCTCTGGTTTCCGTTACAGTGCTCCGCTGCACCAGAAGCAGTTTAGTCTTGCTGGCCACATGACCTGGAAAGCTGTCTATGAACAAATGCTGGCTCCCTCGGCCTGAAAGCGGAGATGAGTGCTGCAACCCCATAGTCACCTTTGACTGGACTTAACCAACCAGGACTCCTTTAACTTCTTCTTTTTTACCTCCAGAGATAAGCAATGGTGGTGAAGCTAGCTTCTGATCTTTTACGTGGCTCATGTTTAAATAATTATTTACTTATACGTATTCCAAGGTCCAATGAACTACAGTTGGAAACATTGTTTGCTGTAAAGTGTGGAAGAGTGCTGTTCATGAATCACAAGTCAAAGCTCCCCTTGGTACATAGAAGTATCTGCATGGTTCTTTGCTTCCTGACCCCAGAGTCCTGTTTCAGATTTAAATGTTAATGGAAATAGCTTGAAACCTATGAACCCTTTTACCCATCCAGCCCACTGGTAGTTTAATGTTATAGTCCCGAAGCCAGCCACAGAACAATACAGATAAATAATTTTGCTATAATCCTTTAACACTTGGTGGCGCCAAAGAATGAAAATCCTGTGCATGGAAACAAAGGTGAATCTATCTTATACAGGAAAGCAGGAAAATAATAGTATCTTCTGTGCCACGGCAGTAGATACTGGCATAGAAAAAAATCTGTATTAAAAATGGTTATTTACCTGTGTTTGAATATATCTTGAAGTTCATTAAATATTGATTGATTGATTTCATAAAATGTATATACCACTTGATTGTAAAAGACTTCAAAGCGATACGCAAAAAGATAAAACAAGAAAAATCAAGGAAAATGACAACCCTACTTTAAAACATAACAAAAGTTAAAATACTGAAACAGCAGAAAAAAAGTAGTTTGGTGGGAGCTGTAAACACTTGACTGTATGAAAATAATGCAAGAGTCGTTTACAATTTCCCTTTTATTTTTTAGCTGTACCCTGATGATGTATCTCTGGATGCTGTTGAATTCAGAAAGAAAGCCAAGGCCTTGCTGCATCTTGCTTCTCTGACATTAAACAGTTTAGGAGTCAGATTCTGGCTGAGCAGTGGAACTTGCCTGGGTAAGGAGCTTGTGGTCACGTTTGGTCGCTAAGATTGAGAACTGAATGCATTCAGTTACTCAGGGGTGTCTTAACAGGTACTGCAAAACCCACAAACATGCAAAGACACATTTTCATATTCCAATTCTGAAATATGAACCAAAACAGCTTGAAACATGTATGGTTAAATGGCTTAAGCCTTAAACACCCCAGTACTCGCCGAAATTTTGGAATGTCCCTGGAAAGAAGGTCATCAGTCTTCTTTATGTAATGATGGGAGAGAACTAGGCACTGCGACCCTTAACTTGCTCCACTCCCTAACCCCACTTCGCCACCATATCCTTACAGCCTTGGCCAACCCCTCCTCTGCAAGTCCCCAGCAAACTAGGAGAAATCTTCATAGGCTGGTAGATTTTGTGGGCTTGGGGTCTGTACTGTGCCAGCTTTCTGCCATGAAGCTCACAGAACTGTTGTGTTTTCAGGTTGGTACAGGCAGTGCAATATTATTCCTTACAGCAAAGATGTGGACTTGGGGATTTTCATTCAAGACTACCAGCCAGATATCATTCCAGCATTTCAGAAGGCAGGATTGCCGCTAAAGCACAAGTTTGGCAAGGTTGGTGGATGACACACCTGACTTGGGCACTTTGCCCTGTTTGTAACCCCTCCTTTCCAGGGTGTGCAATTCTAGGCTCTTAACAGGAAGAAAATATTGTGTGTTGGAAGAGCTACCGTGGAGCAGTGGATGCTGGACTGGGGAGATTTGGGTTCAGATCTCTTTGCAGTCATGAAGGTTGCCAAGTGACCCAGGGTCCCAGTCGCTATCACTCTTAGTCAGCCTACCTTGCAGGATTGTTGTAAGGACAAAAAGGGTGGGAGGACAGAACCATGTATCAACAGCGTTGTTTATTTGTATGCTGCCTTTCCATGCTCAAACCGGCTTATAGGCTTATAAAGGTAAAGGGACCCCTGACTGTGTTAGGTCCAGTCGTGGCCGACTCTGGGGTTGCGGCGCTCATCTCGCTTTATTGGCCGAGGGAGTACAGCTTCCGGGTCATGTGGCCAGCATGACTAAGCCACTTCTGGCGAACCAGAGCAGCGCACTGAAATGCCATTTACCTTCCCGCCGGAGCGGTATCTATTTATCTACTTGCACTTCGACGTGCTTTCGAACTGCTAGGTTGGCAGGAGCAGGAACCGAGCAACTGGAGCTCACCCCATCGCGGGGATTTGAACCACCGACCTTCTAAACGGCAAGTCCTAGGCTCTGTGGTTTAACCCACAGCGCCACCTGCGTCCCTTATAGGCTTATAGGGCTGGGCAATTTCTGGTTTTCAACATCGTGATATATCAGCAACTAAACATTGTGATATACTGATATACCACGATGTCTGAAATAAGGATGAAGCTATGTAGAGGCATTAACAATAATAATAATAATAATTTATTATTTATACCCCGCCCATCTGGCTGGGCTTCCCCAGCCACTCTGGGTGGCTTCCAACAAAATATTAAAATAACAGTAATCCATCAAACATTAAAAGCATCCCTCACATTGTGATTTTTGAATAGAGCACACACACACACATCCTGATTCATGATATATTACCGGGTCAAAAATTATGGAACCAATATCACGATATGGCCTTCAAACTGATTTTGGGCAATATATTGATATATCACAGCTTACTACACCAAAAGATTTTGTTGTTGTTGTTTAGTTGTTTAGTCGTGTCCGACTCTTCGTGACCCCATGGACCAGAGCACACCAGGCACTCCTGTCTTCCACTGCCTCCTGCTGTTTGGTCAAACTCATGCTGGTAGCTTCGAGAACACTGTCCAACCATCTCGTCCTCTGTCGTCCCCTTCTCCTTGTTCCCTCCATCTTTCCCAACATCAGGGTCTTTTCCAGGGAGTCTTCTCTTCTCATGAGGTGGCCAAAGTATTGGAGCCTCAGCTTCACGATCTGTCTTTCCAGTGAGCACTCAGGTCTGATTTCCTTAAGAATGGAGAGGTTTGATCTTCTTGCAGTCCATGGGACTCTCAAGAGTCTCCTCCAGCACCAAAAGATTTACTTAGTTGCAAAAGCAGTCATAAGCCATAAATGAAAACAAGCATGCAATAAAAGTAAGCAGTCGTTACATAAGTCATGATAAAGTCCAGCAATAATGATGCAAAGCATTCATACCAGTAACAGCAAAAAATGAAGTTGCTCCGAAATTAAAACTTGACCTTAACACAAACCCCTAAACGACACACCCCACTCCACAGACCTCTAGGCATCCTGAGCATCAGGTCCGGCAAAAATGTATGCCGCCTTGAGCTTCTTGGGGGAAAGGCTGGATATATAAATAGTCTTCTCATACAGTATACCTGATAACCATGAATAAATGTTTATTTGTATAAGGTGGTTTCAAACAGGCCATTAAATCCTGGTGTGACTAAAGAGCCCAAACGGTTAGGAACAGTCTTGGTTTTCTTTACAAAGCCCAGTTACAGGTTATAATTTTTTTTAAAATGCATGCTTAAACTATCTCCTTATTTTGAAGATGTGCCAGCTCTCAGTCTGGAGCGAGGTCCCAACTGGCTTCTTGTTTCCTGCCAAAGCATACCCTTTTCTGCCACGGTTGCTAGTTCCCCAACCCCTAGGGTGCCATATAGTGCAAGCAATACTTGGGTAGGCAAGTCGTCTGGGAAGGTTTTCAACAGGAGACTTGGTGCAGGATCCCCAATCCAGATTGGGAGCGTGGTGCAGATTGGGTTCTCTACAGCAGAGGCTGCTTTATTTTAAGCATGCTTTAGTAACAGAAAAAAATAAAATAAAGAAAACTCAAACATGTATCATGTCATTTGTGCCTAAAAATCATTGCACAAAGACCTGGCATGTGTCCCTCTTGTATGTTTGCAGTGTTTGACTTTTGCAGCCTCTTTTAATATTATCTGTGTCATATAAGGTGCTTTTCCCCTGTCTACCTTACAGGTTGAAGACAGCTTGGAGCTCTCCTTTCAAGGAGAGGATGAAGTAAAGCTCGATATATTTTTCTTCTATGAAGAGGATGACCACGTGTGGAATGGCGGAACTCAGGCCAAATCGGGCAAGAAATTCAAGTATGAGTCAGACTTGGCGTCTGTGGGGGAAGGAAATAGAGCTTGACAAACTGCAATATGAGATATTCTTAGCAATTAGTGTAGTGCAGCTTCATTCTACCACCAATATAAAAACGATAAACCACGAGGGAATTGCAGACCACTTTTTCAAACCACCAGTGGCTTTCAAACCACTTTTTGGATAAAACTGGGTGTGGTTCTAGGGGACCCGTTCAGCATTCATCTTGATTTGTTCGCAGGGAGAATGGACAGTGTTGGCTATTTAATGAGCATTTCATTCTGATTGGTTTGCAGTGAGGTTAGACAAGCGTTTCCCCACGTTTTCTAGTGAGTTTTCCCATTGCAAAAATGCAGGCATTTTGGGGAAGCGGGTTTGTTGTTCAGGACCCTCTTGGTTAACTATAATTGTTCAACCCAAATTTGCCAGTACAGTCGTACGTTGGAAGCTGAACGGCATCCATTCCGGAAGTCCATTCGGCTTCCAAAACATTCGAAAACCAAAGCACGGCTTCTGATTCGCTGCAGGAAGCAGAACTAAGCTGTTCGAAAACCAAGGTACGTCTGTATAAGTCATGCAAAGGTGTTTAGTATGTAGTTGTAGAAGCCATTTTAGCCCAAATTCTGCAATATGCAATCTGGATGCAGACACTTTTACTCAATCCCAGAATTCTTACAACATTATCTGTATGCAGAGTCAATGAAGTCGCACCACATTTCACTGATTGGATTACAAAGCCCCTTTCCTTCATCATTGACCTTCCTGTTCTTTTTCTGCGACACAGGTATCTGTTTCCCAAATTTACACTATGTTGGACTGAGTTCGTAGAACTCAAGGTACGTGTGCCATGTGAAACTCTCCATTACATTGAAGCCAACTACGGTAAAGAGTGGAAGATACCCGTGAAGATGTGGGACTGGAAAAACTCTCCACCCAACGTCCAGCCCAATGGGATCTGGCCTATCAACGAATGGGAAGAAGTCATTCAACTCTACTGATCAATCTAAAGCAAATACATGTATTTATGTTGCCCACAAGGCGTCGTCGATTGTGGAATGCTTCAGCCATTTCCAAAGGAGATGCTGTAAAAGATGTATTCACTGTTCAGTTGGTCAACGCACAAGCAAATGGGTGTCCTGCTTCAGGAACTCTGAAGAACTCTTTTCTACAGCTGAGGATGGGGGGCGGGGTGGGGAATAAGCTACATAAAAGTTGTATTTAAGGAAAAAGTAATATTGGGTGGCCATTTTGAACATTTGTTGCAGCAAATGTCCCTAAGTCAAGAAAAAAGCTGCCTATTCTGCCCAAACTAAGGGTCACCAAATACAGCCCACCATTCATGTCTGCACCACAGCTCGCTGAAAAACACAGGTGGGTGGTACCAGTTGTATGGCAAGCCATGGACTATTTAGCAGTGGCTTTTGGTGCTTAGTCGAAATGGAAGTTTTTGTGGGAATGTTCAGGGAGGCAGGAGAGGATATATTGTTTAATAATATCCTTCCTAACTTGTGCTAGCAAGTTCTGTAATTTAGCAGAGTTTTACATTCCCCTTTTAAATGCACAGCGGATAGCTTGTTGCAAGCTTGTTTAAGCTTCTCAATATTAGATTCCTTGTAAGACCCTTTTATATCCCTCCTAAAAGAATAGACACGACACAGTCTTGTGTAATGTGTATAAGTTTACTCACACATTCAGTTCACAGATGGATCCCTGAAGGCAGACTTAGTTACAAAGTATATACATATGGATCTACCCCATAAGGGGGGGGGGTTAATCCCAGTGACCGCAGTTCACACAACAAAAGGAAGATGGAAAAGAGAGGGAGGAGGGTTGCGTGCCTTGTGCTTTTGTTACCTGCCCAGGTAAAGTCATGCCCACCTCTGGTCACATGCAAGAGGAAGTATGTCCCAGGCCAGGAGGAAACAGGAAGTGGCTGGACCAAACATTCCCTTGCAAGTCCACTCTCGGAAAACAAGGAATGTTGTATTTGACTGCTATCTATGTATCACATCCCACAGATGGGTTGTTAGTTAAAGCCTGTGTTTGAATCTACAGGGTCCAGTATCACTTTAGCAGCTAATAGATCTGAAAGTAGGAGGAAATGATGTCACCTACTCGAATGGCCATCTGACTCGAATGGTCCCCCTTCACCTAAATTGCTCATAGCTTCTTTCCAACCTCTCGAGTCCAGGTTTTTCTTGAAGCCCCCACTCAGGACCACTTTTGAGGGAGCCTTGCTGGCGGGTGAGAGCCCTTCGCAGCTTACTCGTTGGCAATGCAGTATAGCTGCTCAAAATACAGATGCTGGCCATCCTTGGTCTATTGCATTAAGTATTTAAGAAGAGCTTGTGAACTTCCTTGAGGTTCCCAGTTGGTCATTACAGGAAATAGGATGTAAGGGTAGGTGACTCACGGAGGCAGAAGAGCAATTCCTCTTATTCTCATAGAGCATTGAAAAGGGGACCACATCCCAACATGGCTCCTTTTTACAGATATTCCCAGTGGGATTTCACTCATGGGAACATAGCAACCCATACTACTTTTAATCAGGGTTTTTTTCCCCCAGCTGGAACTCACCAGAACTCTCAGGTGGGCACCATTGCCATTCTAAGAGAACGAGGGGAGTTCATGGTGAGTTCAGGCATCTATTTTTCTAGAAAAATAGCACTGCTTTTAATAGTGTATCATTGACCTTTAACCATAGTTCAAGACTTTCCTGCCATGTCCCCATCGTTAGGAGATAACGGGGGGGGGGGGGGAGAGCATTGTACAAAAAATATAATCAAAAATAATTTGTCACATACCTTATTATGGGCAGCAGTTCAAAGAGATTTGAAAATGACGATCAGGACGATGTGAAATACTGTTATCTCTGAAGAAGTTCTCGTAGTATATTTTATTTGTACGTGGCTCACTGTGGCCTGAAGTCTGTTTTGCATTGTTGGGAGCTCTGTTATACAAAGCACAATAATGTAGACATTTCTATTTGTGGGCAGAAAATGTGAATCTTTTTTTTTTTTTTTTTAACCACTATTGTTTATCTTGTGTAGATAAGGAAAAAGAGAGAAGGTACTAATGCATGTCCCCTCACTAAAACAAATAGTATTTAAATGATCCACGTACAATATTGTGTTGTAACTTATTGGTGAAGTTGTTTGCTGTTTTGTACAATGTATAATGATGCTCTTGTCGGTGGCTCCTGTCAAGGAAAAGTTGGTTGTTCCTTCTGTCCTATTGAAGTCAATGTGACAAGTTAGTATCGAGTAACTTTTCTGGATTCGAGACGAAGGTTTTAATGTACTTTAATGTACTAAACCTAGATTTAAGGATGTTACTCAGTACAAAATAATCTGAAGGAGGCTTTAAAATTAATACATATGTTCTGAACTTTTTAAATAAACTTATGAAAAGAGACTTAGGAAAATGTCACATTTATTCAGAATATGGAAGATCAAAATCTATGCCTCTGGCAAATATGTTTATAATGTGCAGTTAGTGCTCAACAATGTTCTTGTTTTAAGGTTACATTTGTCATATATACAAAAACAGCAACAATGCAAGCATGATAGACAACAACATGGTTAAACTTCTATATATCCTGGTATAGCCTGTATATGTCCTCCTTATCTTCTTAATTTCTGAAAATATAATGCTAAGTGAGATCAGGCTTCCTTTAACCAGCTTGCCTTTTCAGCTATTGGTGCCAATGCAGCTGCAATACTGCGTTTCTATTTCTAAAATATAGTGTGTTTCAAAACAAGGTATAGATTTTTGTTCCTAAGAACCAATCAAGGCAGAGTACAGAAATCTTGCTTTTCTCACCTCCGTTTGATTGTCAGGTAAAATGAGCTCAGTTAATTTACTTGGCTGAGGGTTTCTGAGCCCATTATGGAATGAATGAATTTGTAGAGTAAATCCATATGAGGAAATTAATTTCTGGATGAACTTTAATAGCAGAAGAATTTATTACTGCCGGTCAATTTTGAATTATTAATTTAATCTAACCTTGGAAATTGCCGAATGAACTGTATTTAACCGACTGGTTTAAATCAAGAGTCAAAAATGGATATATTTTGATGATTGAATGAGGACTGCCTTGCTGTTAATTTAATGACTGGATTTTTATGAGTATTTGGAAGTATGGATTGTGACACTTGAAGAGAGAGAAGGCATGCATGTGTTTCTCTGCTAATGCTAGAAGCCTCTGAGCTGAGATGGGAGAATTGGAGTGTTTGGTCTTAGAGAACGGCATTGATACAGAATCATAGAACTGTAGAGTTGGAAGGGACCAACTCTTTCTACAAGAAAGAAGATTCCACCTAAACATTAGGAAGAACTTCCTGACAGTAAGAGCTGTTCGACAGTGGAATTTGCTGCCAAGGAGTGTGGTGGAGTCTCCTTCTTTGGAGGTCTTTAAGCAGAGGCTTGACAACCATATGTCAGGAGTGCTCTGATGGTGTTTCCTGCTTGGCAGGGGGTTGGACTCGATGGCCCTTGTGGTCTCTTCCAACTCTATGATTCTATGATTCTAACTGGGACCCAATGATCATCTAGTCCAGGGGTCACCAACCTAAGGCCCACTCTAACGCCCTAACCCTAACGCCCGCTCGTGCACTGCGCTAAACCAGTGCAGCGTAGCGCAGGGACTCACTTCTGCGGCGCCGAAAATCGCAGGCATGCAGACACCGAAAATCAGGGGCGCGCAGATGCATGCACTCATGATCCAGCCCACAGAGGGATCTCCGCAGGACCGATCGGGCCCAGGCAAGATAAACCTTGTCGACCCCTGATCTAGTCCAATCCCCCTGCAATGAAGAAACCTCAGCTAAAGCATCCATGACAGATGGCCATCCAATCTCTGCTTAGAAACCTCCAAGGAATGAGAGTCTACAACCTCCCAAAGGAGACCGTTCCACTCTTGAACAGCTCTTACTGTCAGAAAGTTCTGGTTTGAACCCTACTCTCCAGAGCAGGAGAAAACAAGCTTGTTCCTTCTTCCATGTGACAGCCCTGGAGATATTTGAAGGTGGCTTTCGTCTGTCCTCTCAGTCTCCTCTTTTCCAGGCTAAACATACCCAGCTGCCTTCTAGCGCTCCTCATGGAGCTTGGTTTCCAGACCCTCGATCATCTTGGTTGCCCTTCTCTGCACACGTTCTGGCTTGTCAGCATCCTTCCTAAATCATGGTGCCCAGAATTGGACATGGTATTCCAGGTGTGGTCTCAGCAAGGTAGAATAGAGTGGTACTATTATTTCCCTTGATCTGGACACTTATGATCTGGACATAGAGACCTGGTGTCTTTAGCACTTGCCTTTTGACTTTGGCCTCTGTATGAATTTCACCAAAGTAAGACACTTCAGTTTAGTTGGGTGCTGAGCTTTTTGTAAAGCTGCAATGCTCAAGTATGCACAGTGTCTTTGCAAGGAAGGAGGACTCAGAAAAGAACATAACTTGGCCACACCCCTGCAACCCTAGTAACCCGGCTGAGAAAATCTGAGAGTACCTGTGCATATGAACTCTGTTCCATGCATGTGACCTATGACATCCTCTCCACATCTTCACTATGCAACCAGTTTTAACCACAACAGCTACTTCCCCCATGAGGCAGGCCTCAAGAAGCCTCCTTGCTTTTATAGTCATACCTTGGAAGTCGAATGGAATCTGTTCCGGAAGTCCGTTCGGCTTCCAAAAATAGTTCGCAAACCAGAACAGAGTCACTTCCGGGTTTGTGGCGTCCGGGAGCCAAAACGTTCAAGAACTAAGCTGTTTGAAAACCAAGGTATGACTGTGTTTCAAAGTGAAGCCATTTTTTAAATCATACCATACTGAAGTAGAGCTCGGTGTCTCCCAGATTTGAAATAATAGCCTGCCAACATGGTTTCTTTTACATATTTGAAGGCCTTCTCTGTTTTGTTTGGCAGGCAAATGATGCTGACAGGTGAGGATTCACCAGTGGTACCGTGGCTCACTCCCTGGAGCCAAGCGTGTTCAGCTTTGGTAGTATATTTGTGAGGATAATTCAGCAATTATGCTGAAATTCAGGGGGGAATTAAAACCAGAAAATACTCAAATGCAGTGTTTTGGCAGCTATGCAATCTGGAACCTTAGGAATAATAATAATAATAATAATAATAATAATAATTTGTTATTTATACCCCGCCCATCTGGCTGGGTTTCCCCAGCCACTTTGGGTGACTACCAACAAAAGATTAAAAATACACTAAAACATCAGTCATTAAAAACTTCCCAATACAGGAGTGCCTCAGATGTCTTCTAAATGTCAGATAGTTGTTTATTTCTTTGACATCTGGTGGGAGGGCATTCCACAAGGCGGCCGCCACTACCGAGAAGGCCCTCTGCCTGGTTCCCTGTAACCTCCCTTCACGCAGTGAGGGAACCGCCAGAAGGCCCTCAGCACTGGACCTCAGTGTCCGGGCGCAACGATGGGGGTGAAGACGCTCCTTCAGGTATACTGTACAAAGGCCATTTAGGGCTTTAAAGGCCAGCACCAACACTTTGAATTGTGCTCAGAAACGTACTGGGAGCCAGTGTAGGTCTTTCAAGACCAGTGTTATATGGTTTCGGCGGCCTCTCCCAGTCACCAGTCTAGGTGCCGCATTCTGGATTGGTTGTAGTTTCTGGGTTGCCTTCAACTGAGGAACTGAGAAAATGATCTCAACACTGGAGAAAAATGTAACAGCACCTTAAAATCTGAGCAGTTTGGTATGTGCCATTTCTGTTGCGCCACAGCTGTACTGGGAGAAACTAGCACAGGTAAGGGAATACGTCCTGGCATAATTTGAAAACGTTTCATTCTGAATGCTAAATATTTGAGAGCAACGCCATACAAATAAGTAAAGAAACCAGGTATCCTGGCTTCGGTTTTCATCAGTATTCTCAGTATCTACTATAGATGTACACATGTTTTGCTTACATCTGATATCCACAGACAAGGCTTTCTTGCTAGGAATTTCAAAATGGTGCTCCGGGGAGAGAGAGAGGTTATGCAAAACACACAGCGCACAGCGACACTTCCATTTGTCATGAGACGCCAGATGCTTTAGACAGGCTGGCTATAAATGCAAATCTGAGTCCAGGATCTAAATATATGGTACTGCTGGGGTTTTCCAGTGTCCTGCTAAAAATACTTCTGCCCTCTGTAAAGACCAAGCGAATGGACTGAAAGGAGGGAGGATTCAGGAGCAGTTAATTTAGGGCATGGCTACTACTAATGTCACCCGTGCACCAAAATCTCTCCCCTTCTGCCCTCAGAAGTCTGTAAAAATGTTTCCCCTGCCCCATGTTGTGATGCCCTAAATGGCCTTGACCCAGTATACCTGAAGGAGCGTCTCCACCCCCATCGTTCAGCCCGGACACTGAGGTCCAGTTCCGAGGGCCTTCTGGCAGTTCCCTCACTGCGAGAAGTGAGGTTACAGGGAACCAGGCAGAGGGCCTTCTCGGTGGTGGCGCCCGCCCTGTGGAACGCCCTCCTATCAGATGTCAAGGAAATAAACAACTATCTGACGTTTAGAAGACATCTGAAGGCAGCCCTGTTTAGGGAAGTTTTTAATGACTGATGTTTTAATGTATTTTTAATCTTTTGTTGGAAGCCGCCCAAAGTGGCTGGGGAAACCCAGCCAGATGGGCAGGGTAGAAATAAATTATTATTATTATTATTTATGTCATTGCGTACATTTCTCTGCTTGCACTAACTACTGACATAAAGCAGGAGCCCATGAATGTGGTTACATCATCAGCTGATGCACATGTTGACTCAATTTAATTGTGAAAGGGGTGCTCTTTTTAGAAGGGACCCCTCCGTAAACCAGTTTTTATTCAGTTCCTTAGAAACGGAACAGGACTAAGACTCTCTTATTGTGTTTTTTTAAAATTTTGTATTCTTATGTTGTGATATCTACAGATGAAGGGCGGTATTCAAATTTAATAAAACAATAATTTTATAATTCATACCCCACCCATCTTGCTGGGTTCCCCCAGCCACTCTGGGCAGCACAGCACATATAAAAACATAGTAAAACATTAAAAACTTCCTGGTACAGGGCTTTCCTTCAGATGTCTTCTAGAAGTTGTGTAATTCTTTATCTCTTTGACATCTGACCAGAGGGCGTTCCACAGGGAGGGCGCCACTGCCGAGAAGGCCCTCTGCCTGGTTCCCTGTAACCTCACTTGTTGCAGTGAGGGAGAATTATACAGAATTTCAAAGGATCTGAGTAGCAGAAGATTTTGTGGCTCTGCTATACAGTATACCAACGTGCATTCATAGGCCCTCCAAGTTTCCCTACTTCCCAGGGACAGCCCCGAATTTACAGAAGTTGCCTGGGTTTCTGATTTGATCCTGGACTGTTCCGCTTTTCCTTAGGACGCCCCTATTTTCACCGGAGAAATGTTGGAGGGTAT